GTTGTGGATGTCTATGGGCTCCAGTAACCACTTAACATCAGGTGGGCTGTGAGCTCGTCCACCCATCTAAGCAATAAAAAAAAAAAGAACGTTCACGATTGTGTGGAGAGCTGCCCGATCATGGCGGCGATGATGGACGATCATTTGTTGGCCCATCATGGCCGATTGTGAAGTGGAGCCTTTAAGTTAAGTCTTGCGTTGTTTAACAGACGGAGAAACAAGAAGAACACGATTTTGAACCGCATTGACTCCTACTTTTTCCAAAATTTGGACAACTTCTTCACAACCAATGTCGGTAACATTGGTTGTTATGTTGTGCGTTATTTGTATTTATTCAAGATATTTTGAAATTGTCGTTGGCGTGATTCTAGTTGATGCAAGAATTTTTTTTCTGCCGTTTTTTTAGAAACTCATCACAATAGGATATCAATAAAATTAAAAACTATCCATAAACTTTTTCGAACATAATTAAATACATATTTGTAAAATTTTTATTATTCTGTAATACTAGATGAACAATTAGTTGTTATTACAACTATTACTTTTAATAATTTTTACTTCTTTGACAATTCTAAAATTCTAAATTAATTTATTTTATTAACATTGTACTACAATAACCAACAGCAGGTAATTTTCCAATAAGCAATATTATACCAAAAAGCGCAATATATAAAAATATTCTAGAATATTTTACCTACTTATCGCATTAACTTACCGTGAATTTTTCTCCTGAAGTGACAGGTCTGTTTCCACCAGAATGATCCGAAGTTCTGTACTAAATACTCACTATTTAAACTCTTTTAAATAGTCGAATTTGCATTGAATATAATTATAATATGCACTTATATATATTTTGAAGCACATATTTAAATATTCTGTACAACGTCTTTTTTGTTCTTCAATTTTTAAATAATACTATTAACACATTTCAATTATATTACCGTCTTGTTATCACTTTACATTAAATTTCAACGTTTAAGAATGGGGTATGTAGTTGTTTTAGAATATTTAACCCAAAAAACGTTATCTTAAATAAACAATGTTTTTTACTAAAGATGCAGGGGGAGTCGTGGAATTAGTCCGCTTCTTTCCTGTTCATTGACGTGTTCTTTATGATCTTTAAAACGATAACAAATTCAAATGATACAAATCAGTTTTATTGTTGTTAAGTAGGACAATGTACTATTTTGACGTATAAACCCCACTGTTTATGATATTATCATGGAAAACCGTATGCCGTGTGTTAAAAATAGTTCAAAATAACGTATTTTGTTGACAATGTTGTGAAATTCACGTTATTATTATCACTCTTACTAATTCAATGCTTTCGTTCGATAAGCTAGTTTTAAATAATGTAAAATGGTTTAGTGAATTGTAAGTTTCCTTGTTATTCTTTATTCGAATACGATGAATAATTTTATTCATTAGAAACGTCTATTTAGTCACCGTGAACAAATTACAAGTAAATTTCCGTCCGTAAAAATCCGTATTTTATAATGACAATTCCACTTAATTAATTTCATTATATGAATAAAGGTACCAAAGAGAATGTATCAAAAGCATCAAAAGTTTAAAAAATTTCAACCTGCGTCAAATATTGCTGTAAAATGTATGATGCTTCCTTCTCTTTCTCAATTTGAAAAACTTATGTAAAGAAAAACCTTTAGTAAGATATAGAGCCTTTAATCTCCTTTTTAAATTATTATTTTAAACATATTGAATTATGTTAAACTCTTTTTTCTGAAAGAAGACAAGTCAGTGAATTGGTTTAAGACAAAAACATATTTTTAATACTAAAGAGTTTTTGATGTTTTTAAATACTAAAGGTTTTTCTTTACACTTAGATTGACCCAGAGGTAGACTCCCTGCTCAACTGACGACGATCTGCGCCTCCATGGAGAGCTGAGGCGTTGGGGGCTATCATCCGATTACCATGTTGTCGAACGTGGGCGAGTGGGATGAAGCCACTCATTCTGGCGTCGTATCTGGAACGCAAAACCTTTCTTGTCACAGTCGGGATTCCGCAGGCAAGTATACGGACACCGATCCTCTACGCACCTACACTAGTGACATTCCCGTGCTTCAGGGGAGAACCTTCACGCGTGGAAGCCAACGTGAAGTTGACGCTGTTGACCAACGACAGAGCCTACTTCGCGTCATTAAGGTTGTTAAATGTTCTGCCCTAGTGGCTGAACCGGTCCATACCTTCGGATCAGTGGGTCGTGATGAGCGAAAATTCTCTACTGTCCAGTCCACACAAGATTCGGACTGGCACGGGAGCGCTCATAATAAATAGTTCTCGCGGGACCGAGTTGTGCACCACCTTCTTCATCCTTGCATACCTAGGGTGGCATTCTCCCTTATGGAGACCCAGTTAAGTGCTAGTGGGTGGCCCAATCCCCGTCTGGAGAGTGCTCTCGATCTCTGCCCGATCACGGTTGCTCCGTATCCGGGAAACTCGGGCCGAGTGAACGTCATCATGTGTCGTAGCCCCTTTGATTGTTAAACTATTAGGGAAAGCCCGGGCGCGAAGCCCGGTGGCAGGCTCCCTCAATTGTAGTTTTAGTTTTATACACATTTAGTAGTAATAAGTAGTGGTAGTTTAGTTAAGTTAGATTAGATCATTGTTGTGTGTTATGCATTTTCTACATTCCAAGCAATCTTCTATTACTCTTAGTAATAGTTAGTCTAGTTTAGTTTTTCAGGTTAAGTAGATTGAAGATTGGAAGAAAGGAGAGTGAAAAGAAAAAATGAGTTTGAGACAAACTGAGAGAGGCTACTATCGGACCCGCCACACCGTCATACCGTGTCAAAAATATTATAGTTTAAGTATTTATTATGTTGATATCTAGACAAGAGGCCTGTCTCATGTCTCCGTAAGGGTGCTTGTATTACGTCCGTTCTTCTAGTGATAGAAATGGGTAGGAGGGTAGCTTATAACATAATATTATAGCAATATTTAAAATATGAACTAGAAAGTTAGCGTTATCCATCTAAGGAGCTAGGCAGGTAGGAAAATATATGAGCATATTGCTTCTGTAAATTGATATAAAAATAGTATGTTCACTAAAAAGTGTTGTAATAGTCGTCGTGGCCTATAGGATAAGACGTCCGGTGCATTCGTATCTAGCGATGCACCGGTGTTCGAATCCCGGAGGCGGGTACCAATTTTTCTAATGAAATATGTACTTAACAAATGTTCACGATTGACTTTCACGGTGAAGGAATAACATCGAGTAATAAAAATCAACCCGCAAAATTATAATTTGCGTAATTACTGGTGGTAGGACCTCTTGTGAGTCCGCACGGGTATGTACCACCGCCCCGTCTATTTCTGCCGTGAAGCAGTAATGCGTTTCGGTTTGAAGGGTGGGACAGCCGTTGTAACTATACTGACACCTTAGAACTTATGTCTCAAGGTATGTGGCGCATTTACGTTGTAGATGTCTATAGGCTCCAGTAACCATTTAACACCAGGTGGGCTGTGAGCTCGTCCACACTTCTAAGCAATAAAAAATAAAATAATACTTGAACATTATTTATTTATACCGATGAAATTAATATTAGAGTTGTATTTAAAATATATTGGTTGTAAACTCTTCTATATTCTGCTCATGTCTCATGTTATCTTCGTATTCATGTTTTTTTAACGATACCTTTTGACTCTTCACATGTTTACGTGCACTCGAGCCTTAATAACCTTCTAGTTGTTGTTATTTTTCTATTTTATTGCTCTAAACAGTTTATTAGTTCACGCTCTATTCTGTGTTAAATGGTCATCGTAGCCCATAGACATCATAACATAGATGCGACCGTTAACCTTGACACTAAAGTTTTATCACTAAATTGTTTTTAGTAAATACATAAATTATAATTTTTGCTCGGATGATACAATATGTAATTCCTTTCATGTAGAAGTAATTCGTGAATATGGGTTATGCAGGCTTAGGATTAGAAAAAAAAAAGTGCCTGAATTTGAACAGCAGCACTGTCGTGTCGCTCTATAGGAAGTACAGCAGGCGCTTTTTTTATATATATATATTTTTTGCTTAGATGGATGGACGATCTCACTGTCACATACTTTTTATAGTATAACGGCCGTCCCACCCTTCAAACCGAAACGCATTACCGTTTCAAGGCAGAAATAGGTAGGATGGTGGTACCTACCCGAGCGGACTCACATAGCTTTCTACCACCAGTTTATTTGACATCAGCTTGATCTGTATCTAGTGTGTTAGGAAATCTTTCAATGAAACACAAAACTGAAACATTTGTATGAATTTCTTACAAAAAATGTAATCATAATTTAAAATGAATAAGAAATAAAATATAAATCGATAAGATAATGACGCAAATCACAGCTTTGTCACGCTCTGTTCAAAAGTGTTGAAATGATATGAACAATTAAAGATTCCGTATTAGTCTTATAATTTTACATACAATAATAAATTGAAAAAGTGAAGTTCTAATAACATTGAATTATATATGAATTGATAACATATTAAGATTACATAATCTAATAAGTAGTACATAATCTATTAAGTACTTATTTTAATTTAAGTTTTATCCATAAATAGATACTCCCATACATTATTATTTTCGGGAATAAATTTCGCGTAGAATTACAATACTTAACGTTAACCAGTTTTTCCTCGTTTTATTCATCGAAGGGAACTCTAATAATAACTGTATTTATATTACACATCTATTAATCTCGTGATATCAACTGATTGTGGATACAGATAATTTGTAAACAACGAATTGTTTGGCGCAATTATTAGTGCGGACGTCGTCGCAAATCAAAATACGCTGCGATGAAGACAATCGACAAAAGCTGTTATGGATTTTACTTGTGCTGGAATGTTTGACTCGATACTCGACAGGATTCAGTGTTAATCGTTTTAATGTTTAGTGAAGTGTTAATAAAGTTTTTGCCGATATTTAATTAACATTTCGGACATTCATCATGCAACTTGACAATATTAGTGGTATTCTGAAAAATGTTTCGCTGCTGTAGTGTCGAAGACCTTTTGTATCTATTGATACTATTCGTTTCTCTGACAAAGGTATTTTTAATTATGTTTGTGTGACATAAATGAAGTCTTCGTCGTATTCGAATGTGTATGGATGATGGTTCTAGGGGGAGTCATTTTCCGACGACGCTTTCGACCTGCTCGACGGAGATTTGGATTTGTGGCACGAACGAGGAAGCCGAGTGGCCATACGGGAGGATGCACCTACTTGCGAGAGACAAAGTTTTTATATCTGTGAGGTGTGTAGGTATATATAGCCTTTACACTTGTAAAGTATCCGTTTTAAAAGAAATGTTTTGAAGAAATGAATGACTCCATTCAAATTGTGTCTCTTACTACAACGTGATAAGTGATTTTGCGGTTCACGGACATCGGCATTATCGTTGGGAGAGATAAGCTGTCTCTTTTTTGAAGTTGTCTTTTGTTAAATAAATAGGTAACTATAATACCCCTGTACGGTAACATAAGAAGAGAACACTTAGTAAATACTTTTCCTTTATATAATAAAGTATGTTATCAATGTTAGATGTTATCTACTAATAAAATGAAATATCCTGTGTTGATACGTTTTTCAATATTATATTAATCTATTAGTGTGTTTTCATTACAAGCATTCAAGTTATTCACACAACAAATGGGATAGTTTTAATTAAAGTCAATTAGTAAAATTAGTATATTTACTTTTATAGCTTTTTTTATTGCACTAGTTGACGAGAGCATGTTTAGTGTCAAGCGGTTACCGGAGCCTATAGGTATCTCAGGTGTAATGGAAGTCCCCATGGGTAGGTACCATAATATTGCCTATTTATGCCACACGTCATCACGGATCCTCCTGATCCATTAACGGTGCTTTTAGGCACTACAAGCACCGGTCACCGTCCTCGTCGAACCCGTCGCTTGCGACGAAGGGCTCGACGAGCGAATTAACCCACAGACATAGCCCACTGAGTTTCTCGCCGGATCTTTTCAGTGGGTCGCGTTTCCGATCCGGTGGTAGATTCTGCGAAGCACTGCTCTTGCTAGGGTCAGTGTTAGCAACTCTCCCGTTTGAGCCCCGTGAGCTCACCTACACACGCTAGGGTAAGCTGAAATAGCCCTCAAGGCTATCAGCACAGGTAGGAAAAAAAAAAAATATGCCGCGAGGCAGCAGCGCGTTTCGGCTTGAAGAGACACACAATCCAATTGAAATGTATATCTCATTTCTTAGAGTATATTTCGGTTATTCAAAGGGGCTGCATGCCCGTATCACTGCAATTTTTTTTTTTTATGAAAGTTCAAACAGGATGATGTAAGCCTACATCGGATATATAAATAATAAAAATGTATGTTCGTGATAGTTTGCTATAACTGAATAACTGACGTTTTAGTATGGAGGTAATTTTTAGGAGCCGTTAAATGGAGTTCCTCCAGAAGCACATAAGACTTGTAACTACAGGAATGTAGACTATCACGAGCAGGTCTTCCGCTGGGTTGCTGGTAGAGGCTGTATCATCTACACTCCGAGCTTCCTTTTTGTGGGTGGTGCCAATGCAATGAACACTTCACAGTGTTTCTATCGCAATTATCGAGTTCGTTGCTTAGAAATTGTAAGTGAATTTTACGGTTATACAGTTAATATAATAACAACGATATAGTAAAGACGCGAGTGTGTTTTGTTAATAAGCCCTTGCGAGTGATCACAGTAATTGATTGAAGTATTCAATTTCAACATACCTACATTGAAGGTCGTTTGACACAGTCCATTCTTTGATCCGTGTAAATAATTTTAGATTACAAATGCAACAATAATAATAAATTATATTAAAATATAGCACGACTTGTATGACTAGAAAAAGCGCTGTGTCGTAAATGATAAGTTGTCCTGTGTACTTGAATCAAGCGATGCGATCATCTTCCGTCGTGAAGGGATAATTTTGTAATAAAACAATTATATATTTTTTAAAGTGTAATTACTTGTGGTAATGCATATTGTAGGCAGCACGGTTAGGTACTACTAATATTCTTGCCTATTTCTGTTTTTGAAGGGCTGATAGATAGATATTCAGTAGAATTGAATCTTCAGCCTCGTTTTCTTCCATATTGAGTGGCAGCGTCCTGCTGTGGACTACTGGTCAATGTATTTATTATAGTCTCGTAATTTTAGCACCATTTATTTTACTATGCACATCACACATCAGTATCTTGTTCTCATTGTAAATTGAATCCTAGTTTGGGCCCCAATGATCATGTCTGTGATTTTTCCCTGATTACATAATTCATGATTAATTAATGCAATCGTCCAATATTTGTGTACTTAAATGTTCGTAAATTACCTACTAAAGGCGCTTTTATCTACTTAGCCTAAAGAAGATGGTACTTGTGGATGTTATCCTTTCGACCCCAGTTTTGCAGAAGTCGCAAATATAATACGAGAGGCTATTATACCATCAGCTCATGGGCGTTGGGAAAGATGCTTCTACGCAGCCCAAGATTGTTGCAGTCACTACATGCTCGAGGATACTAATTCTATTGGTAATTAAAATAATAGATATTGATTTGATCTGGTTTTCGTTTAACCTAAATGCAGTGTAACGAGTAGTTCCTTAATTTTTTGTTACCAACAACAAATATATAGATATATAAATCATACAAAATTCTAAATTCAAATTATTTCAAGTTGGATAATAAGAAACGTTTATTTTTTTAAAGTTACAATAAAATCTAACACCGGTTCCAAAAAGAGCCCAGGTTGACCGCCCGCGATACAAACTTAGCAGGCGTGTTTGTTTCATAATATGGACAATAAATTTAAGCTCTATTGGAGTTAATAATATTACTATAGCCCTAAGGGTTTTTGCGGTGTGATAATTCAAATAAATTGTTGTGGTCGGTCTACGAGTATAGGAAGAATTCTTATACTACGTTATTATCCATACAAAACGCCATAGTAAAACAAAAAATGCATTTTTTTTTAAAGATAAAAACGAATGTGGCGTTACCTTTGACGGTTGGACGTGCTGGATGACTGCAGAAGCTGGTACCGTTTCTAACGCAGTATGTTCGGAATTTGCCTATTCGAATACAGGGCCATCTTGTAACCGTAAGAGCTTTCTATCTTAAATAACAATATAAATGAGTCGTCTATTATCAAAGGTGGCAATCTGTGCATTTGGACAAAATTTTTTTTATTGATATGTCAATACAGATTGATTTGAATATAATGGTCTCCTTCAAAGAATACGGTTCAAAACCTGCATTAAATAAAGGTTAATAGTTAACCTGTTATTTATCTAAGATGTCGTTCCGAAGAGTTTTGTGACTGCCGATGGAATACAAAGTCAATAATTCGTTTTTCTGATTTACCAATCATTGTCCAAAAGTCAGATTGCCGCCTTTGATAATAGACGACTCAAATATCGATTCCAAATAACTTTCTTCAACTGAACCGTGATATTTATTTGTTGACACCACTGATGGTAGGACCTCTTGTGAGTCCGGACGGGTAGGTACCACCGCCTTGCCTATTTCTGCCGTGAAGCAGTAATGCGTTTCGGTTTGAAGGGTGGGGGCAACCGTTTTAACTATACTGAGACCTTAGAACTTATATCTCAAGGTGGATGGCACATTTACGTTGTAGATGTCTATGGGCTCCAGTAACCACTTAACATCAGGTGGGCTGTGAGCTCGTCCACCCATCTAAGCAATATAAAAAAAAAAACATAGATAAATGGCATATTAGGAAGCTGCAAAAACCCGTAGACATGAAGCCCCCATCTTAACACAAGAAGGAAGTTGCGATTGATGAACAGAGTTTCCTTCCTAAATGGTTAGCGAAGTGCCGACATATGATTGACATGTGACTTGCTCACAACAAGCTATCACCAGTACTAAAAAGAAGAAGAGAGCTTAGGATGAGGATACCAATGGTGTAGGCCGATGACGGTCGGAGTCTCCATATCTGAGACCATTATTATATTAGGCTCTGGATTTGTGAAATGCGATGTGGAAAAAATACATATAAAAATTACAATACGATTTTTGTTATTTAAAGGATATTTAATGTAAATAAAAACCCAACAATTTAGTCTAGTGTTTCTAGTTTAAGAAAGTCAAGTCTAATAGTCTTTTTGACGCATTTACTTGCTGATTATAACAAATTATAATATATTGGATTGGATATTTTTTTAGACTTCAGCAGCAAGGAATGCTATCAAAACGGAACATGGGAAGTCGAATCGGTATACACTACTTGCAGTGTCACGCCTCGTTTAGTGCAACGATACAGGTTTCATATCGCCATGCTGTCCATTTCCGTCGCGTCTTGCCTTCCTGCGGTCTTCATATTCTTCTTCTACAAACGTTTACGAATCACAAGAGTTGCGCTTCACAGAAATCTACTGATTGCGATTATTTTGAGGAACACATTCGTCATAATCAGTAGAAATGAGGTAAGTGTTTGTGCTAATATAATGTAATAAAATAGTTATACCGGCCATATACATATCTCGTATAAAAATACTATTATTAACTTTTTAAGTTATATTATTGGCTTTTTGACTTTATAAAAGTCGAGTCGACTAGTTTCGCTAGCCTTCATTCTTTATTACACATGATTCACATAGTTCACCTGCAAAAAATTCCTTCATTAGGTAAATTAATTGTGCGACTTTTATGTAGAAAAAATCAACGACAGAAAGAATATTCAGTTCAGTTACTATTTCCTTCACTTTCGCGATGTTAACTTCAATAGCAGACGTTGATGGCCCACCAGAGAGAGGCAACTCTTCCATCACATCTCCACCGCTTTTGAATTCTTTATACCATGGTAGGGAGGGGCTTCACGGGCTCTGCCCCTGGTATTGCTGAAGACCATGGGCGACGATAACCACTCGCCATCAGGTAGGTCGTATGCTCGTCTGCCTACAAGAGAAATAAAATAAAATGTTTTTGCACAATTGATTCACCGTAAGTTTTGAAGTTCTTGCTAGGGCCAATGTTAGCAACACTTCCGGTTAGAGCCCCGTGAGCTCACCCAAACGCCAAGGAGAAGCTGAAATGGCCTCTAAAGGCTATTAGCATAGGTAAGGAAATAAAAAAAATAGTAAGCTTTCAGTAACATTTCAGTCAAAACAGCCCTGTAGTTAATCTAAATAACAGATGCCACTCAAACACCGCGCCAAAATGGAACGAATGGATGAACAGAAGGGCCAATCTAACAACAACAAAAAAAAAAAGATCATCCATTTCCGAAACATTTTTTACACCATACGATCTATTTTCAACGTAAAAAACGGTACGGAATCTGGAATAAAAATACACATATGTTTAAATCTTTCTTCAACGTTAATATTTTATTCATCTCCAAAAGTACTATAGCGGTGTCGTTGGCGCAAACTATCTTGTTAAGCCGTGGTACTTGAGAATTTTTTTTTCAGACTTTATTTAAGAAAATATGTATTGTGTTTTTCGTCGACAATACATTTAGGAATCTTTTAACTGTAGTAAAGCCCAATACAGCGGAAACTTTTGCTTGATGACCGAGTTTTGTTGTATTTGCGCATCAAGAAGTTTTCTGTATTTGAGATTCTTTTTTTTATATTTATCTGAAAAGAACTTTTTATCTTAGTCAAAAGGCCGAGAAGTTAGTGTAATTATAATTTATTTCAATGATTGTTGGAAATTCGTTATCTCACAATACATTTTTAAAGGAAGTTAATCATTTCGAAAAATCATGCAGCAATTAATAAATTCGCCCGATAACAATAACGATAACACGCGGCGCCCTGCGCAACTAAATTGTTGAGAAACAAAATATTATTGGATTCGATTTCTCAATAGAATAACATACTGATAGAGGCACCCGTCACGTGCGGACGTGCTCATCGTCCACTCGATCGCCCGGTCTTTGTTCGCCCGGCTTTTGTTAGCCCGGCCATTGTTCGCGCGGCCTGTGTTCGTGGTACATCTGCCGACTAAGTGCTCTTTCTGGAAGTTTTTATTTGTTTTGTTTCCTTTTGTTGTTTCTGTGTTCGTGGTACATCTGCCGNGTAAACTTTCAATCATAAAAAAAAAAAAAAAAAAAAAAAAAAAGAATAACATACTGTGTTATTCGGGAGTCAGTGAATAGCAACAATACAATTGTTGAAATGATGATAGTTACCATGTAAAACGCGATCAAACCTTCAACTTTTACTTATCTAACTTTTTTTCCTATGTATTGGCTGGGAGCTTAAGGAGCTATTCCAGTTACGCGCGGACTGGTAGATGAGCTCACGAGCTCAATCTAACAGTATTTGCTAACAACAGCCCTAGCAAGAGCAGAATCTACCGCCGGATCAGAATCGCGACCCACTGAGAAGATCCGGCCAGAAACTTAGTGGGCTAATAAAACTTCCTGCGTCTACTGATGGTAGACCCATCCCTAGGCATTTCACCGTGAAGCATCGCGTTCTAGTTTAATATATAGAGTCCCCTACTCTTTACCTATGATTGAGACTGATCTTTGTGTTGATATTAGGGGAAGCAATCAATCGTTTACAGAATTCTGAAGCCTCTTAACAGAAAGTGTGCACCGACCTCGCCTTCTCATCCATCTAAACCATCCTAGACTAAGTACAGTAAAAATGTTTATGTTAAGTATAAAAATCATTTTACAGTAGCATCCATCAAAATCCCTCCCCGGTACGGTCATATTGATCGTCAACCGTATTTATCAATTAAGGAAGTTCATGTTTTGTGAATACCTGCGTAATCTGAAGCGAAGCCACCGGTCATGTCACGAAAACCATTGGCCGCTCACAAAATGGATTCTTATTTGCATTACATTGGATACTAAAACTATTCAATAATATTTATTCGCCATTAAACTAATATGTTTTGTATAAAGAATCGTAGATGAGATCGGATTTAGTGCGACCGACAAACATTATTATTACTATAAAGTAATTCAGTAAACTAAACTAAATTAAAGTATTCAGTTTTTGTGAGTAGTAAAATTATAATTAAAACTTATTTTACGGTTCAATCTCGCGTGTTTTATTGTCAACATTATATTATCATCGACGTATCGATGACGACGTTATCCGTGACCACAATAAATGTAAAGTATTCGAAGCGTCGGAAACAATAATATGACAATGCAAAACGCGAGATTAAGTGGTAAATTAATTTTAATTACGGTAGGTATTACTTTTGTTTGTCAATCGCTATGAAAATGATCCCAAAAGTGGTGGCACTGTTTGTTGCTTGGCGCAATTCAAAGAGATTGATACAAACTATTGCGTCAGTTGCTTTTGGGCCATGTTCGGTCGCCAAGCTTGGAACCCTTAATGTAATAATTGGTCAAATCATTAAAACTTATATTAATACGTGAAGCAAAAACTTTGTATCCCTTTTTACGAAAATTGCGCGGACGGAGGAGTTTGAAATTTTCCACACTTATAGAGAATATAGAGAAGAAGTGCGCAATGCTAATTTTTTTTTTAATTATTCCTAAAAGATATATTAAATCAATAAAGAAAACATTACACACACTACATACCATGTATTTGACGCACACACACATGCATACTATTTATTATCAAACTTTTGTTCTTGACGTCTGTTGTCAAATTGAGATTAAATATTATTTTTTATAGTGTAGTCTTGGCGAAATTTGTGATTATAGAAGTATAAAATACAATCATAATAGTGTACAAACTTACAATTCCAATTAATTATAGTCGAATTTCGACTACTGCGGGACCTCTAGTTAAAACTTATCATATCAACATATTTATAAGTCCTTTTTTGCGCTTTTCCACTGGAAGACTGATTTTTTTGGGAACAGTTGTTAGGGTTTTGACCTTAAAATAATATGTTTAATGGTACAAAAGTCATGTAATTATATTGAATTAATATTAATTTAACAAAAAAAAATCTATAGGTAAGTACATGTGACAAGTGATAGCGTGGCAAGTACGTGTTGACTCTCAGACTCACAATGTCATATTAAAGACGCATGTGATAAGGTCAGCCACGTGCGCGGAACATTTAGTGTAAACAGTAATTAATAAAAAGAAAATAAAAAAATGTTAGTTAATAAATGTACTTGTAGTTTTGTTTGTGTCTTCGAGTTTAATGTTCAATTCAAGTTTGCGATTGCACCGCGGTTCCGATTGAAATTTTTCAGCTCTATAAAGAAGCTTATTGTTACCATTAGCAAGCGACAGGCGGCAGCGGGTAATTTCAGCAAATACGAACAGTTCCTGTACCATGTGCTTTGTATTAAACGATTTAATCTTTGACAATTACTTTTGTAACGTATGTTTTACTCCGGTTGCCGTGAAACTCTTTCGTATCATATGTACATCAACAAAGATTACTAACGGTAGATGTCAACAATACTTTTACTGGTGGTAGGACCTCTTGTGAGTCCGCGCGGATAGGTACCACCACTCTGCCTATTTCTGCCGTGAAGCAGTAATGCGTTTCGGTTTGAAGGGTGGGGCAGCCGTTTTAACTATACTGTGACCTTAGAACTTATATCTCAAGGTGAGTGGCGCATTTACGTTGTAGATGTATATGGGCTCCAGTAACCACTTAACACCAGGTGAGCTGTGAGCTCGTCCACCCATCTAAGCAATAAAAAAAAGTGCAATGGTTAGCTGGCGAGTCCTTTAAAAATTAAGTCATAGTTATAGATACCAAGCCAAGCGTGGCCGGTTTTCATTATATGTAATACATATATTATTTCATAAATTTACTCGACAGATTTACTTAGATGAACTGCAAAATACAGGAGACACCGTGATGACTATTCACGGACTGGCTTGTCGTTTCCTTGCAATCGGTGAGCGAGTTGCGGGCAACGCTGTTTTCGTTTGCATGCTGGTTGAAGGCATATACCTACACCGTCTCATAGTAGCTGTCTTCAAACAGAAACTTAACATTAAATCGCTTTACGCGATTGGGGCGGGTAGGTTATACATTTATTCCCATCATTTATGAAGAAATATCTGAATAGGCTTACATTAAACCGTTTTTTCCCTAATAAATCCTGAACTGCTACTTAGCTTTTTATATTGATGAACCATATTATTACTTTTAGATTAGCTCTTCCCAACTTTTTAAATTGTCATGTATTACGGAAACGATTGTGAATAAATAAAGATTCGAATAACCATCATTCAATAGTAACGATAACAAATTATGTTCCTTCAGTGATTGCAGTAGCTCCAGTAATAGCATGGGTAGCAGTGATGGCGGTTCACAATGATCATTCCTGCTGGCTTGTCTACACCATTGAGCATGTGCAATGGATACTTGATGTTCCTAGAGTTGCCATACTGCTAGTGAACACAGTACTCTTTGGAGATATCCTGAGAGTTCTATTGACGAAAATCAGGAATAACGAAAACTCTCATCAGTTGTAAGTATGAACACTTTTTAGTACGATTCTCTACGTGAGCTCAGTAGTATCTGAAAGAGTTCAATCATGCCTTATCCAAGTTTAGTATCACACGGTCTTTTAGCTACGTCGGTGTTTTTAGACCCTCAACCAACGGTCACCGACCCCGTGGAACTCGTCGATTACGATGATCGAACTAACCCTTAGACACAGCACACGGAGTTTCTCGCCGGATCTTCTCAATGGGTCGCAATGTCGATCCGGTGGTAGGTTCTGCGAAGCACTAGCCTCTTTCGTGTTGAACTGAAGGGGGCTGTGTGAATCAGTGTGAAATTCGAGCTCGGTTTGGTCGCACGTATTTGCGAATATTTGCGATTTGCGGATACACACGACGGGCAAATGTCATTTCGACACCTCAGCTGCAGAAAGGCTAGTCTTGATAGGGCTAGTGGTAGCAAATTGTCCCAGGTCGAGCCCATGGGCTCACCTATCCGTCTGATCGCAGCTGAAATAGCCTCTCAGGCTACCAGCGAATAGGTAGGAAAAAAGATCGTGAACATTGCTAATTTCTTTAATCAGAATTAAAAGTACTTTTGATAAAAGCTAAGCATGCTACATTTGTAGGTTGTCGAAATATTTTTTGAAATGCTTTCAGTTTTGGCTAAATAACTAAAGTTTTTGTACTTTAGTGCTCTAAAGAATACTATATAAAATGTCGGTTACGATCCGAGACTTGTACGTAACTGTTTCATTTCCCTGAAATACATATAATAAAAATGTGGGTCAATGTCTGTAGATACTAATAATTATGAATTATTTCAATCTCGAGTTTTTTAGCATTGCGTAAGTTGATCAAAAGTTGATCTATAAAAGTTTTATAACCTTGGGCATCCGAGATGTTCTAATAGAACTAATATACTTCACAAATGTTGATAATGTACATTTATAATAAAATAATTTTAACAATTTTAATAGTTGGAACACCAAAATATGCTTAAGGTTTAAAAAGTTTGCAGTATAATTCTAAATCCAACGAACTTCTTTAACTGGTCCTGATTTTGTTCTTTACATACTTGAGGTCAGCTCTTCAGGATCCTGGATCCGACTTGTTTCGATCACCAAACATCTGTGTGTTTATTTTTACGAATAAAATGTTTGATATACAATACATTTGAGAATTCGACCTCATGTCTAAATGGGGAGCTACATGATGAGAAATTATTAAGAAGCTCGAGGGGTCCTGTATCGCATACCATTTGATAATAGCTTGACCGACTATTGTCATATTGACATCATCTTTTGACCAATGCATAACAAAATGCTTTTCGCTTCTTTATTTCTATTATTCCCTTCCGTTCCCAGGAGTACAACAAAAGCAACGTTATTCTTGATGCCATTGTTCGGTACCCAGTTTTTACTCACAGCGTTCAGGCCGAACACAACAGATTGTACTGGAGAACAAATCTATTATTATGTGTCATACACGGTCGAGGGGCTTCAAGGATTCATCGTCGCAATACTTTACTGTTATATAAACAAAGAGGTAAGTAAGGTCTTGGAGAATAAAATACAGTTATTAAATACTTAAGCGTAATCAGGACATATTTTAAGGGGTTGCTATGATAAATATACTAGTTAACTAAAAGCAGATCAACTCAACAAAATATAGGTTTAGTAAAATCGGAATATGATATAAAACAGAGATTTACCTATTTTGTCTTTTTTTTTGTTAATGTATGAAATTAAATTAATTTAATCTAAGCCTACCGTCAAATTTAATTAAATAAAAACCACTGTAGACATTAGGTATATTTTATCTCTTGTTTTTATCAAACAGGTTCGAAGTCTAATCAAAGCTACTTACAAGAAAACTGAAAGTGCCGTAGTTTCCCGTATTCGACGAGATTCAACCCATCCAAGTATGAGCGTTGACCCTAGTTCCGGTAGAAGAATGACGTACAGCACCGGTATACCAAGCCAAGGGGACATCATAAAAGAACAATACGCAGTTGTGGCACCAAAACTGCACGTCGCTGAAATAATATCTATACAACCTAGTGAAAGATTGGTCGAAATCATAGAACCGGTCTATGAAACTATTAGTAACAGCGTAAATAATGATAGCTACGATGCGTTGGATAGATCAGACAATGATCCAAAGGGTCGCTCTAAAATTGATGATTATTACAATTTTACCAACGCCTCGAGTATCACTATCGATTGTCCAGAATGGATTCGATGCGTTTCGTCTCCAAATAGCAGCATTTATAACAATTCGTTTAATGATAATGAAAACAAATATCTTGCTAGTCACATTCCGGATATTCCTGAATCGTGTAATGAAATGAAACATTCAAAAAATGAACAGGCAGAGAAGAATAATTTACCGAAACACGATATCGGTGAAAATAATGAAGATTTCGAAGATTATGACGCTGACTTTGAGACAAAAACAAGCGCAGATGACAGCGGAAACATGTTGGAAGAAATAATGCAGTGCATTGAAAATAAAAACGACCTAAGTATACCTAATTTAGACCCGGAACGTCTGTGTCCAAATAGAAACGGCGAAGATAAGATTATATTTTTAAATGAGTAACACCATTTTATTTTACATCAAGCTTCTAAATTATTTTTTCCGGTTAACTTCCCCGAATAATGTTTTGTATTGGAATCAATAAATTCAAATTCAGAAACAAGTTTGAAAATAAAATGTTTATTTTTATTAGAGTAATTGTTTTATTACTAAACCAGAAACTGGCAAGAACGAATGTCGATCACATGTAAAAGTAATGCTATTTCAACGATTAATAGTACATGTGTAGGTAAGGTTAGCTACTAAGATACGAATGTTTACGAAATATGAGAAGTAATATGGGTATTTCGGCACACCTGAACCTCCGGCGACCATTAATTGATCTGTCAACTTGTTTGAGATCGGGATCCTTTCAAACGCAGCTTACATAAGTAGGTGGTGGTATGGGCCCGCGAACAGTCGAGTGTAGTTCCTTATGCTGTTAGCTATCAAAATATAAAAATGATATCTAAGCTGTTGGTGGCATTGGTGCTATGTTGGGGTGTACAAAGTTTTCCGGATGGTGCACCTATAGATACCTGTGTAAAGGAGAGGCAGAATCAACCTAATCATGGACAACACAGAACACAACCAATATCTTCACTACCGTACAGAGTTGTAGCTTCATCGATGTTATTTGGTCCGAATACCCCAATAACAGGTTTGTTTTTCTTTCAAAGCTTATATTTTAGCATTTATAAATTTTGAATTTGTTTAAGTATGATGGTTCATCTAATTTCATAGAGGTGAGGAAAAATTCCCAAAAAATTTTTGCTAAAAAAATACAAGTTAAAAACACCAAATAATTTTAAAATAATCGCGAATTCAAATATTACATTTATTAAGTAATTTTATTGCCATAAGTACTGTTGTAAACAACACGTGATTTCTGCCTCGATTTTGTATAAACATAATAATATTATTATTCACGAATCAAGATTGTTGGAAAAACAGAAATTATCTCAATGGACATTAAGATTACATGCTCTAAGGCAAAACATGAAGAATGTTATCTTTAGAACGTTTCTGAGTAGGTAATATTTTTTTCTCTGCTGCTTACCATAAATGTTTCAATTAATTTTCAACGTTATTTATTAATACCAATAATAAAAAAAAAAATCGATGTTTCAGTAATTTCATTCGTATTCTAACAATACGACAAACCCTTTACCAAAGCCCCGGCTATTTTCGTGTTAGGTTTGTTATGAGTATAATATATCCTTTATTCCAATGCCATTGAGATTTCATCCTCATGTCTCAAGGTGAAAACATCAATGCGGTTGGATTTTCACATTAAGTGGGTCCTAAGATACACCAGAAAATTCAAGAATCTTCGCTACGAACAACGTAATTAGCATGATGACACATTTTTGTAGATATCGTACTCATTACAAATCGACCATGAGAAGTACCATACACATACTCAGTCGACCGGACGTAAGTTTACGAAAGTTCGGGTTTTTGTAGGTCATGCCACTCTTATACTAGTAGATATACCGGTTTGTAATGTGCAATACTATTAGTTTTTAAGGAAAAACGCATTAGATATAGAAGATCATTTACCAGTTCAATTTAAACAAATCCATTTGTCATGTAGAAGTGACCTAAAATGACGTCAGGGTTTTGACTCTGGTCACCTCGAGCCACTTTAGCGTAAGCTGTTCTTTGATATGCGCACCTTAATCCTATATCAAACTCTTCTTATCTTCAATTATGAGTCATAAAGTATATAAGGCCTTTAGGCCCTATATGATTGAGACAGTTGGATTTTTTTGGAAAACTATTTTAATTTTATGCCGCTTTTTTGTATCGAAACAGTAACTATGCCAATCGATGGGGTTTCACATCAAGATATTAAATTCAAAATCAGCAATTTGTCCATAATAATATGTGCTCTTGTAGGTCTATTTTATCTAAGCACTTTTTAAGAAATTGACTTGATTATGATAACAATATGTATTAATTTGATAAATGTCATCAACGTAGATCAGATGTCGTCAGCCACTAGTAGATTAAATTATTGTTTTCTAATTTTATTATGAATAAATGAGACAGTGCTATAAATGGACACATAAACAGAAATTCCATTAATATAATTCTTGGTTATATCAACTTTTTTGTATATTAAAATAATTATTTCCTATAATATAACAGCAGGGAATAAAAAAGACGGGAAAAAGTACAGATGTACAGACGTGTTTTTAAAATTTTCCGCATCTTAGGTCTTGGAAATAGTTCGCGTATATCTATCATTTATACATACTTTGCAGTAACAATTGAAGGAGCGGAAACGTTTAAGGGCTTCTTTTTACAAGCCCGCTCCATCGACACTGATCAGTGGATCGGCACCTGGGAAAACGCACCTAATACGACGATACATCCTGAATGTTCGTCCATCACTCATGCTGACCCTAAAGAGAAATTGAGAGCGGTTTTGCTGTGGAGGGCACCTCCAGACGCACAGGGCAGAGTTTATTTCACGTAAGTATTTCAATGAAGAATGACTCGTACACTCGTGTGGTAATATACCGGTGTTTTTTTTCATTGCTTAGATGGGTGGACGAGCTCACAGCCCACCTGGTGTTAAGTGGTCACTGGAGCCCATAGACATCTACAACGTAAATGCGCCACACACCTTGAGATATAAGTTCTAAGGTCTCCGTATAGTTACAACGGCTACCCCACCCTTCAAACCGAAACGCATTGCTGCTTCACGGTAGAAATAGGCGGGGTGGTGGTACCTACCCGTGCGGACTCACAAGTGGTCCTACCACCAGTTCTTCTAATCCCACAGGCAGAAGGCATATTTTTTTTTAAACACGTTCACGAACGGTTTCAACGTGAAACGAATAACAAAGTAATAAAAATTAAGCTCGCAAAGTTTGTCAATTTGCGTTTTTTAAGCACACCGATTACTTAGTTTGAACGGTGGGACAGCAGCTATTCAATACAATTGAGGTTTGGACCTCGAGTTTCAAGATGGGTGACAACATTCACCGTATAATATCTGTAGGCTCCGACCCACTTAACACTAGATGGACCATGAGATCGCTCTATGTGCAACAAAAATCGAAAAATGTGTCCTCAGTATCGAACCACACTGCCTCACAAATGTACTAGCCGTCTTCTACAAGGCCAAAAATTTTAATGTTCCTTTGAGATGTAACTGGGTTCTCAAAATATTTCGTTTAAAAGATAATTTTAGTGAAACGTTCTGTATGACTTATTATTACGTTAAGAAAACTCCGAGAAGCACCGAAATGTATTCCTTATATTCATTTTTCGTTAAAAGTAAAGTTAATCGCATTTAGTGCTCGTGCTTGTGGTATTAACTCATACTTTATAATGAGGTCTTTGAACCGTAACATATATTCCTTTCACTGCAAATGTGTTGTGTAATAGAATTGACGAATCGTTATGTCTGTCATGAGTGTGATTAATGTTCACATGATTTTAAGCCATAGGTACGTTAAGTGCCAACTTATCGATTCAGTGTTATCAATTTTTTTACTGTATCGATTTTAAATTATTGAAGTAGAAAATGATTCTTAATTGTTATAATCAACTACATTCTCTTATGAAATTACATCTTTGACTAGTTATATTAGAGGGACATATGTATATGAAACATAAATAGATCTATATTACAAAACTAAATGCTATTATTATCACACACATCCTATGTATATGTTTATCCTGTTGAAATAATTTTTCAGGGGAACTGTACTGAAGAACTACAGCACGTTTTGGTCTAATCTCATAGCAGAGGCGCCTCAAGATGCAGCACAACTCCAAATATTGGGCTGAACGCAGACACACAATTTGAATGAGTTCAATTTTGTATATATTTTTTTTCAGTTACGTTACCTTAATTATCTTCTATGACGTCACGTTTCAAAAAATGTAATAACTGAATGCAAAAAAAGTAATTTAACGAACTGAACTGAGTTTAATTCACAACCAAAGACTTAAGGTTTTAATTTTGTGTTCGTTTTCAGCTTGGAACTGGAGAATTATTTCAGAATAGAATATTTAAATAAAAATAGTTTCAGTTAAAATAAACATGTATATTTCAGCACATAGTAAATAAAATAAATGCATTTCTTCACATCCAATTTATAAAAAAAAATGAGAATCTTCTAGATAAATACAGTTAAAGCACGTGTTATTTTTTAATATTTTACATCATATTTTTGTAATTAACATTTATAAACTAATTTTATTAAGACTATAAAGCGTGTCAGAGATAAGCTAATTAGCGAGCAGGTTCGTAATAAGTTTTAATTCCGTATTGCTTATGTAAGAAGGTCATTTACATTCAATGTTACAGTAGTTATAATAGCGATTATTTCACACGGCTTTATGATAAATGTTTTTCACAAAGATATCTTCATTTTCCAAAAAAAAGTCCGAAATTTTACAAAATGTCTTTCGTTTCAAACCAATGCTCTCTCCGTAATGTTTCATTTCATAAAGTAAAATCATATTAAAGGTAAGAGCTACTAATTTAGTTAAATTTATTTAAAAAAATCTCTTTTAACGAGAATCATTACGCTTCGAGTGCTTACTCCCTAGATATTTCATCACCCTGCAGACATAACTTAGAAACGGGCGAATAATTCGTTTTATCGACGGATCGAAACGGAAAGGAGAAAATGCTGATGATACTTAAGACTGCTTCTTTGGATTTTGTTCTCAAACATAGATTATTTAAAGATAATTTATTAACTGCGTTCCCCAATTTGTTTTGTGAAACCTCTAGATTAAACACTTCAAGATCATTAACTAATCTAACAACAATTTTACCTTAATCAATAAGAAAATTATCGCAGTGTAACTCTTAAATTTTTAAGTTTCAAATATATTTGTATTTTAAAACTGACAACACCATCTAGTTTAATATTTCTCTAATGCTTTATACATACTTTATGGATACAAGGAAATGAAACGATCCAATCTATGAATGCATCTTCTACGATTCTCAGCCTTTGTTTTAATAAAACTCATTATTTTCGATGACAATTTCGGTACTATTGAGATTTGTTGGCACACCAAGTTCTAAGAGTCTAACAATGACCGCTTTAAACCTACTAGGGAAATCACATCATAAAGCACATCTAGGAAGTATCATTAAACAATTAATAGTGATAATTTCGCGACAGTGTTAAGTTTAATAAAAAAAACGCTTTCTCAACTAATAAGTCATGAACATAATACTCGCTTCTTCAGTCAATGATATTTTAAATAAAATAGTAACACTTTATTGTACGTTATTTTTGCTTCATCACGGGACGTTTGATGTCCATCAGATCGCAGAGTTCGTTCCTTATGGGCCTCAGTTTGGAAACGTCTTGCTCCCAATCGGTTTCAGCGAGTACGGACATCACCTAGGGATGTTGAGATGACATTCAAAACAACTGTTGGCGTGTTTTTCGCTTCGTGTGTGTAAATCTTATTTTCAATTCACTCTAAAGCTAATGGTATGAGAGGAAATGATTTCTTAAAACTATTTGCGGGTCAACTGTTACATGTTGGTTGTACTTTGAAAGAAACCCTCCCTCTAGTAGTAACACGGACAGCTGTACCAATCGCAATCAATCCTTCCTTTGTCGGATCACTATTCGTCTTTTCGCATTAAAAGTGTACAATTTCCAAAAATATTCGAAATTGAGTTAATATGCGAACTCATCTGGTATCACCAGTATTTTTCTCATAAATACTTTCAAAAGAGTGTAGTTTAGTTCTATTTTTTTTTTTAGTTTACCTATATTCTGACTGCTATTAAAAAAAAAAATACATAATTTTATCTTACTTTAAAGGCGAATTTACATTACGAAATTAGTGGCATGAAACTAATTTCGTGACATTAGTTTTATCAACAGTTTCACGTGTAATTTAATACTTTCGTAATGCATGCATTAATTTCATGCATGCAATTTAGTTTCGTGCCCTACGCGATTTTTTGGTGAAATTAGTGTCATGCAACTAATTTCATAGTGTAGACGCGACGTGAAACTAATGTCGCGAAAGGGCCTGCGCTGTGCGGACGTGTGTATTGTTAGTTCGGACGCGCTTCAAGCGTTGAAAATGGCAAACCAACGATGGAGTACAGAAAAAAATATAGATCTTATTAATGAATATCAATGACAAGGGTCCCGAAACACCTACAGTAAAAAATCAAAATTATCTTCACTCATTCGAAAATAGTTTTTATAACTCTCAGGATCTTCATCTGCTAATTCAGAGACTAACTTCATTGCACCTAAATGCCTTCTTGTTGACCATCCTAGAATCTACCAACTTTTTTTTTCTTGATAGTCTTTTTTTAAGTTTATATGTATATAAGCATTTCTTTAGCTACATTGAATATAGCAAATTATAGCTTTGATGTTGAAGGCGCCATGGTTACTGCGATACTGTGGATTTCGCGACGCTAATTTTTTAACGAAATTACTTTCGCATATATCGAAACTACTTTCGTGAAACTGAGCTCAACATGCATGACACTAATTTCGTAATGTAAACTAGGCATAAGAGGCAGATAATGTAACTGGTAAAAAATAAAAAATAGGTTGCGGTAGGCAGCGGCTTGGCTCTGCCCCTGGCATTGCTGAAGTCCATGGGCGACGGTAACCACTCACCATCAGGTGGGCCGTATGCTCGTCTGCCTACAAGGGCAATAAAAAAAAAATGTTGCAAAGATGATATTAATATTAAAATTATCACACGTTAAACCTTTAAAACACTCTCCTGTAAAATTATAAGTTTTGAGATTATACAGTTTTAATGCGAGAAGACGTCTTATCAGAGCGGTCGTGGTGGTCATTCAGAACCTATCATTGCTGTGGGCAGATGTTATGCGCCTCATGAGCAATCGCCATTTCTCCCAGTTTGTGGTAAGCCTGGTACACTCATGCAAATAACCGCCAACTGTCGACTTGACTTGGTCGGCCCATCGTATGGGCAACCTTCCATGCGGTCTGGTGCCTTACTTAATCTTAATGCAATTAGATTAATAATAATTATTATTATTATCAGGGACAAGTCACGCATGGTCATCTATCTCCAAACTGTATTATGGGAATCAGAGGTACATACATACTTGAATATATATTAAAAACCCAAAAAAAGCGCAAACAAACCTGTCAATCATATGTGGTAATCGAACCCACGATCTTAATACCAGCAATCAGTAACACTAATTACTGCGCCACCGAGTCAGTCAAAATTAATGATTCCGAAAGACACGACGGACCATCATGCAGGAGAATGATGATTGTTATTTGTATAGATTATGCAAAATCTTCTATAAACATTATGCACACCATGTGTGCGCAACGTAAGTAAGTCGCCCACTATGGGACACGAAGTGGAATTAGCAATTTACATTAAATTCAAAGTGATGTTATTATTACACATCAACGACTCAAGTTAGATCATCAAAGTTGTTTAATGTATTTTGACATTGTTTTCAAACGACCGACTCAGGTCAAAGGGTCACGGAAGCGCGAGTTATCAAGTAGATAACAGTTCGAAAATCAACTTGTAAAGTGGCGTAGATAACAAACAACACGATGCTTAGAACGCTCATTTGCTCCAATGAGAATAAAGTGAATACGTTCACAATTCAATAACGGTAAAATAACGTCGATTACGCTTCATGATGAAATGTAGGTGTTCAGATGATATTTGCCATATAGCAATTACCATCGCACCAGGTGCCACCGGAACTTGACCTTTATTATCAGGAACTTCTACGTTTTTATTCCATATTTACCTAAATCATTTCTGCCACGTACCATTCAGCTCTAGGATGAATTCCCCTCTATTTAATTTTTCTTGTTAGATGTGGCTAATAGATATCAACAGTGTGAGTACTAATTTAGTCTCAATTTTTAAAGGTTCTATAGTGGATAGGGACTTGCCTGTAGTCCTGGCATTGCTGATTTTGATGATCGAAGCTACCCATTTACCAAGAGATCGACCGTGAGCTCATCTGCTTTCGACGACAATAGAAAACTTACAAAGATGTACAAGACTTACTTATGTCAAATATTAACGACATTTTGTGAGCTCCAACAGACCGACACAAATGTCCCATCTAATTCTGAGGCGAAGAAATCTACTTCTCAATGGTTTGGTTATTTCCAGGGCGTGTTTCATCTTATACTGCGTCATCCGTTCCTACTCGCCGTCATTCCAAGCCGGGTCTCTCAAAGATACCTACCTTCCTTCGTTATTCCTTACCGCAAACCGACTGAGACTTCGTCGTTACCTGGTCTATGTTGTCTTGCGGCACGGAGCACACGTCTCCGTAGAGCGTGAGCGCCTCGTAGAGCCTGGCGGCCGCGCACCGCCGCACGTAGCGGTCCGCGTAGCACAGGTAGATGACGAGCTGACCCAGGGACTTGCTGCAGACGCCGCCTCCGACCTGCGTATTCATGGACCTTTTTAACTAAATTGTACTCATTTTTTACACTTCCTCCTATATTCGTGGTAATTTTACTGGAACACGCGTTCGAAATATGTAAATAGGGAGAGAGGGAGAGGGAAGGAGATACTGAGAGAGGGGGAGAGAATGGGAGAGAATGAGAGAGGGGGAGGGAATGGGAGAGAGGGAGAGAATGAGAGAAAGGGAGAAAGGGAGAGAATGAGACAGAGAGGGAGAGAATGAGAGAGGGGGAGAGAATGGGAGAGAGGGAGAGAATGATAAAGATGGAGAGAATGAGAGAGATGGAGAGAATGAGAGAGAGGGAGAGAATGAGAGAGAGGGAGAGAATGAGAGAGGGAGAGAATGAGAGAGAGGGAGAGAATGAGAGAGATGGAGAGAATGAGAGAGATGGAGATAATGAGAGAGAGTGAGAGAATGAGAGAGAGGGAGAGAATGAGAGAGAGGGAGAGAATGAGAGAGAGGAGAAAATAATGAGAAAGAGAGAGCGAGAATATACTTTATTGGACACCAAAACACTTAATTAACATTGAAAAACAATCCAGAGCAGTAGTTCGAATAGTATAGTAGTTGTATTGTTATAGTATTAGTATAGTAGTTGTATATTTTTGTAGTATTCATATAGTAGTTATTCAATAGGCGATCTGATCGCTAAAAGCGATCTTTTCCAGACCACCATTTTATTTACAGAAATTCTTAAAAGATAAAGATAAATCAACTATGTTGCGGCGTACCATTAATAATAAATTATTAAAGAAAATATATACATACAATAAATAGATATATACCGTTTTTATTTTTTTATTGCTTAGATGGGTGGGCGAGCTCACAGCCCACCTGATGTTGAGTGGTTACTGGAGCCCATATACATCTACAACGAAATGCGCCACCCACCTTGAAATATAAGTTCTAAGGTCTCAGTATAGTTACAACGGCTACCCCACCCTTCAAACCGAAACGCATTAATGCTTCACGGTAGGAATAGGCGGGGTGGTGGTACCTACCTGTGCGGACTCACAAGAGGTCCTACCACCAATAAAACCGTTTACATAGAATATGAAATCATTAAATACTGTATTGCGATATGAACTTTTTTCTCCTACCTACGCCGAAAGTTCGGTTTTCGTCCCGCTGTACAGGGAAGAAAGTGTAACTTTTCCTCCCTGGATACAAGTGCGCATGCGCGTTAGTGTCTACGTCTGCTCTCACGCACCTAAAATTCTCCGCCATTGTTGTGCTCGGGTAATTTGCAATATTGTGTTTAGTGTAAAAGTGAAATAAACAAAAGGCAATAAAATGTAATAGTGAAGTATTAAACAAAGATGAGTTCATCAGACAGTTCTTATTTAATTAGTAGTAGTTTTTTTAAAAATTAAAAAACAGTTAAATTGTTTTTTTATGAGTAAGGCGGGGGCTCCGCCCCCCCTACCCCCAGCCAAGGCTTCGCCTCTGGACTCCGGCTCGGTATTCCACGAACTTTCGGCCTGGTAGGAGAAAAAATAGTATGTGCACCGCGGGAGAAAAGTTGGACATTTCCTCCCATGTGTAAAATTGCCATTGGCAAACACGCTGGAGGCACTTCTCCCTTGGTGCGCAATGTACTATATTACTTTTCCTTTAAATTAAACACTTATGAAAGTTTCTATATATACCTAGTATGTCATGTCAGCAATTATTAATTAAGCAAAAAGTACTAGTCTTTCTACTTATTATTATGTAATATCATAAATAATATAATGTAAGTAACAAACGCGATAAAAATAAGTTAACTGAATTGCGAAATTAGCTGTTGAACGAACCTGAATTAATTGACAAAGGACATTTATGGAATCTAGCAGCTTGTATATGTTTTTGCCCCCTCGTAATTCCAACTGCAGATGTTTGAGAACGTCCATCGCGAAAGTCGACTGTGGATCTTCCAGGATAGGAGATATGGAACCTGCAAACGAGATTTAAATTTCAGAATGCTTTATTTCTCTTCGCTACACAAAGATGTCCCTGTATGCATGTTGAGTTTGATTAAGCCGGGTCGAGGTTATTGAGTTTAGATGGATATCACAATACAATTAGAAGCGTGATAAACAGGGTAGACTAAATACTATGTAAATATATAATGATATTTATATGTATGTACAGTAATACTCCTTACTACTACTAACACGGTACTCTTATAACACATTTCATATTACGCGATTTCAGTCCCTCGAATAACAAATGTATTCCCCCATATAATATAACGCGGGGATTTCATAGATTATACATATTCTTGTACTGAGAAAATAAAAATGATTTGTACAGTTTCTAATTAATTTCGCGTACTTTTGAATATTGTGTCAAATGTATTGTTATAAAATTAAATTATTAAATTTGTGCTCCTAGTTTTTGAATTAAAAACATTGGTCTTATTGTATTATATTTGTATATATATATATATATTATATTTGTATATATATATATATTATATTTGTATATATATATTATATTTGTACGCGTTATAAGGCGTCATACAAGTGCGTTATGTGGGAATTCTCCTGTAACGTGGAACCAATTTACCGTGTTACAGGTGGATTACTGTATGTAGTATAATAGTAACGAAAAACCTACTAGGGTTCGTGGCTAGAAACCGTTGGAACCAAGTATTTCTAACAGAGACTATATTATAGTGTTCAAGTCCGACTATTCTTTCAATGCAATTGTGACTTAAACCCCATGTCTTAAGGTTGAAGTTGCATTCATGTACTAGTTTATGGTGTGCGTTTTTAGGCCAATTTTCTTAAAGCAAAATTCATAATTTAAATTTCAATAGTTTAGAAATAATAAGTGTGTTTTTTTAAACATTTAGAATTTTGTAATGAATATTGAAACACAAAACCCACCTGAACTCAATAATCGATCCAAAAAGTTGAACATCGGTCCCGTGATGCGTTTCACATGCAAATTATCGGCAAAAACTTTGATGATCGTCTCGCAAATAGACTTTAGCATTTCCTTGTCCGAATGCAGCGTGTTCAGATACGTATATAGAGATTGTGTTGTGTGTTTTACCTAAAAAAAATTGCTGATATTTAGACTACTGATATGTACCTACTCTATAGCTTTTTTTCCATCCCTATTTGCTGGCCGCCTAAGGCACGGCCGCCAGCTACACCCGAATGGGTAGGTGAATTTGCTAAGCCTAGCCTTAGCAAAAGCAGTGCTTCGCAGAATTCGGTAGGGAACACAGCGGGTTGTGTCTATGGGAATTGCTTTTAATCCGTGTATTAAAAACATATTTTCTTATTGGGCTAATCGCCTAATAAGCTAGTAAAATTCAGAGATGTATATTTAATGTGTTTAATATATAAGTATGCGCGAATTGTTACATATAAAATTATCCGAATATATGTCATTGTATATGATATTGATGGTAACAATAAGGAAAACATTTCGAAATAAAATTTATAATTGTTTCAATCAAATTGTAGAAATCGCAGTCCATTTCGGCGCAAAACCCTGACACCCCCGATCTTGATCGTTGATTATACAATATGCTTATATTTAAATATACTTTAAGATTGATGGGTAATTTTAGATTCATTACAAGATTTTCTAAATGCTGATGTAACTTTTCTTTTCAATTTCCAAATTCACAAGTGGTTTTATTGTTAAGCTATCATCATACATCATTCGTGTCGATTCGCAGTAAATAAACACGATTTATAGTTAATATTAAATCATTCTAGCCATGTTCGCAGCATTAAGAATGGTGCGTGATTCTAAAGATTCAGTTTAAATGTAATTTTAATTGATATTCACTTTCTCTTTGGTTTATTATGACCAAAATAAATGTGATTAATAAGACGGATTCGTATTATTTTTTTATATGAATGTGTGCAAGTAAACTTCTTATTGAATCAGAACGATACGTTCTTTTCAATACGATTACATAATACCAACGTGACACAGAGGACAGAATAATATAAACATGTAATTTAATTAATCTCCACTGATTGGACGGACGTACATGCATATTGATAACACTCCCGCAGTTATCAGCGGTTGTTATTAAATCTAACCGACTCAAACTAGTACCGAGATAAACACTTCTTATGGTACAAGGCATGAATCGTAGCGATTCAAATGTTAACTTAATCATGGGGTTCGCAAAAGTTTTCGACTTTAATAGACAACGAAACATCATCATTATCATCAGCTCAGAGTGATCCACTCCTAACCATAGGTCTCCCAATCCACACCACTGAGCCCTGTCTTCATCTTTCATTCTATTATATTTAAATAAAATATAATACACTGAAACTAGAACAATATTGTCTATTTACTTGGGGTCCTTGATTTCGAACGATTACAACTTCGACATTATAAATCGAGATGGTAGGCGACATTAAAGTCAGATTCTACTAGTTCATCTGCCAACTGCACTAATACAACAAGACTTCTCTATTACAATACGCAAACGGACCATTCCCGAAGGCGAAAGGGCAATGAACTACTATCATAACGTAAACAAAACTAATACTTGTTGTTCTACTGGGTTTATATGTCGTGAAGCGGCGATGTAACGCAAAGTAAAATTTGCCTAGTTTTCCATTGATACAATACCTGTCGTTCTACTGGGTTTATATTTCGTGAAGCAGCGATGTAACGTAAAGTAAAATTTCCCGATTTTTCCATTCATACAATACTTGTCATTCTACTGGGTTTATATTTCGTGAAGCAGCGATGTAACGTAAAGTAAAATTTCCGTTGCTTTCCATTCATACATTACTTGTTGTTCTACTGGGTTTCTATTTCGTGAAGCGGCGATGCAACGCAAAGTAAAATTTCCCAGTTTTTCCATTCATACAATACTTGTCGTTCTACTAGGTTTATATTTCGTGAAGCGGCGATGTAACGCAAAATAAAATTCCCCGATTTTTTTTCTTGTAAGCAACTTCCAGAACTGCCACCATTATTTTTGGGGGCGATATCAACAAACGTTGTGTTTACGAAAAAGTTGAAATAGACCAATGACTTACCAAGCTCTCGGTCAGCTCTCCGGCGCTGACAACCAGTCCTTTTATCACACTGTACCTGTAATCTGGATAGTTCAATAGCTGAACAAATCTAGGCATTGTGTGTCCAGGGAACAACCAGAGCACCACGTTTGAGTTTTCGCTTGTCAACAGATCTTTTTCATCGTCAATATCTTTAGGATGCGGCTTCAGCTCGACTTCTTCGGACGGAAATATGCGTTTCAATGCTTCGTGATGCGGAATGTTCGAGATCGGAGGATCGCTAAAACACATTATTCGTATAAAATGAACGGACGTAAAGATGAAATAAGTCTAAAATACGGATAATCTAATCAAATTTACGGAATTCTACGGAAACGTCCGCAATAAGATAATGGCCATTAAAAAAGAACCTGAGGTTTAACCGTGAAAGTAGTTTTAATTATAACTAATGAAATATTTTATTAAACTTTATTAAGCACTTGGAATCCTTTGTAATCTTTAATTATTCAAGTCAGTTTAAAATACTAATGCGGTTTTGTGTTAGTACAATTTTGTTTTAGTTATTAGTTAAAGTACAACGTAAACAAATTGTCGAAAGTTAAAAATCGCGCTTGGTGTGTGTCTGTGTGTGTGTGTTAAATATGTAAACAAAATTAGTAATTAAATGCGCTGTAATCAATCACGCTTATGTAGAGAAAGCTTAAGTTTTATATATTTATAAAATGATATTAAAAGTAAAACAAAGGAACAATATTATATTGTCGAAGACGATCAATCAGGCATTGTTCAAGCAGATTAGATAAATGGTCTTAAATTAAATCAATGTGTCTTCCACAATGATTGATATAAAGGATCAAATTAGAATGTACAACAAAAAATCATACATTAACATTGTAATTATTAGGAGGGACTGACGATAGAATATTAAGTTGTAAGGCTAATAAGTACATACTAATGGAGACAGTAAATATATATTATTTGACACCATAGTTCCAAATTTAATACAAACTTTAACATTCAGCTAAATTAACATAAAATCGAGGAATTTATCTGAATAGAAATGAGCCGATTAAAGATTGCAGTTTAATTAATTCAATGTGATTCTTTTATATGAATTATTTCTTAGCAGCACAATCAAAATTAGCGGGGGAAAGAGGTTGAATGTATTACGGTTTAAAAAGCACACAATTTTATGTGTAATTTTAAAACCGTTCATCTAATATATAAAATTCTCGTGTTTGCGTGATTGAACTCCTCCGAAACGGCTCGACCGATTTTAGGGTGGAGAATCGGACAACATCTATTTTTCATCCCCTAAATGTTAAGGGTGTTCCACCCCTAAATTTTTATTTTTTAGACAAATTTTTTGGTTTTTTATTTTTTTATGATACAACATACAAAAATACATACAACCCTAAATTTTCACCCCTCTACGATCAACCCTCATTTTTTATTTGTTAATTAAAAACTTTAATTTTTTTTGCAAGAATTTTGTTTTTATTTTGTCATGACTTAGAATAAAAAAAATTCATATTACTCTGAATTTTTCATCCCTCTACGATCAACCCCTATTTTTTATTTGTTAATTATAAACTTTAATTTTTTTGCCAAGATTTTCATTTTTATTTTTATTTTGTCATGAATTAAAATAAAAAATCTGATGTTACTCTCAATTTTTCATCCCTGTATGATCAACCCCTATTTTTTATTTGTTAATTATAAACTTGAATTTTTTTGGCAAGCTTTTTTTTTATTTTGTTATGACTGAAAATATAAAAATTCATATTACTCTCAATTTTCACTCTTATACGATCAACCCCTATTTTTCCATCCCGATTTTTTTTTTAATTCTATGCACAGATCCGCAATAAGGTTGCAAGATGGCAATCAAATATTGTAATTGTAGTACGATAAATTCTTATTCAGAGTTTATAATTTCAAGTTCCTTTAATTATATTTTTTTTTTAAATCAATTTGATCTCCCGCCCTCGCCGGTCGACTACTGATCAACTATCAACCGATCAGTTATCCCCGCCAGGTGTCACCACTCATCCAGCAAACATCACGTAGCAGGGATGAGGACGAAGCCGGTCTCCTGTGTTACTCACTATACATTTTTCAGCCATGTTTTTTTGGTTTTATTTGTGTATCAATAGTATGTTCAGTAGGTCTGAGAATCGGCTACTATCTATTTTTCATACCCCTAAGTGATAAGGGTTGTCAATCCCCAACTTTTATTTTTTGGATATTTTTTTTTGTTATAACGTGGTATTATGTAGTTGAATGAGGTTTTTTTTTCTACACTAGAATTTCCCTTGAAATCTTATTTAAGGCAACACGTTTGCCGGGTCAGCTAGTAATTATATAAAAATCAAGATGTAAAATCGCCTTGAGTCTATTTATATACACGTGGTAGAACATCTTGTGAGTCCGCACGGGTAGGTACCACCGCCCTGCTTATTTTTGCCGTGAAGCAGTAATGCGTTTCGGTTTGAAGGGTGGGGCAGTCGTTGTAACTATACTGAGTCCTTAGAACTTATATCTCAAGGTGGGTGATGCATTTACGTCATAGATGTCTATGGGCTCCGGTAACCACTTAACACCAGGTGGGCTGTGAGCTCCGTCTATCCATAAATGCAATAAATAAATAAAAATAATATATATTTTTTGTCTTTGTAGGCAACGAGTATACGGCTCATCTGATGGTAAGTGGTCATGACAGAGCCAAGCTGCTGTCTACCAAAAAATGTCCTAAGATATTTTTTTTTGTAATTACCTTGTATTACTGTACTGTATGCTGTAATGCTTTGTAGCTTACTTGTATATGAGAGATGTGAATATCCGTCCCGCGTGGGCTCTGGTTCGGTCAATTTTCTCGACGGCTTGCTGCGCGACGCCACACATCACGTCTCTGATAATTTGTGGAGAGTTCAACTGCGGGGCTTCTTCGGCACACTGTCGACATATCGCGAGTAGACCTACACAATATTATTAATATATATTAATACGTGAAGCAAAAACTTTATACCCCTTTTTACGAAAAATGTGGGGACGGAGGATAAATTATGCATTAAAAATACATTAAATTAACAAAAAAACATTACACACTACCACATATTTGACACACACATATATACTCTTTGTTTATTGTCAAACTCTTGTTATAAAGTCCGTGGACAAATTGAGAATATATTGAAAATTGTTTGTCTTTATTAATATTTGTTTATAGTGTAGTCTTGGCAAAATTTGTGATTATAGAAGTATAATAGTCATTAACAGTAGAATCATAATAGTATACAAACTTATATTTCAATTAATTATAGTCGAATTTCGACTACCAGGGGATCACTAGTTAATATTATTTGATAATTCTCTTTCTCTTTGCATTAAGTGTAGTTCAGTCACAGTAGCCTATAGATTCCGCAAAGTGAATGCAGCTACTCATCTTGAAATATGAAGCCCTTTTTACCGAAACCTATGCTTCGTTACAAAATATTGGCAAGATTGTGGTAAAGACCCGTTCGAATTTACAATATGCCCCTATTTTTTCAAATTCTACAATATGCACATGCACTGCCAATTTGTCGAATGGTAGTTTCATTTAAAGAAATAATTTTTTTTTCAGTATTGCCACAATGATCCATTCATTGATGTTTTCTTTCAATCAACGCTAATCACGAGTACGAATGTAGCGGCGGCGAACCTGATTACTGCCGCCGACTTTTCTATTGCAATAATCATTTTCAATTTAATGATTAGGATAGCCAAAACGTAAAAAAAACGTTTTAAAATTAGCGCCAAATAAAAAAAACCCTGTTTCTTATTGCTGCGGTATGACTGAGCTTAAACCAGATTGAAAAACGTAGGTTAAGTCTAGTCTAGTCGTCTATAGTGTACGGAAATTGGAGATACCTACCCGTGCTTACAACGTACCCTACGTTGTAAGCACGGGTAGGTATCTCCAATTCCAACCAGGCTGAACCACAGATCATCTGTTAAAGAAAAACACAACGTACAGTAGATTGGGGGGAATCGGAACGCTTTCCAAATCCGACACAAATTTTCAGCTGTTTTTCTTAGGGTAATACCAATAAAATTGAGATTAAAATGGTTCCGGAGGTTAAAATATTCATATACCTACTATGCATTATTATACATAGTTCATTGAAGTATATACACAAAAACTTAAATAACTAGATTGACCTGATTCACCTTGGCTTTTAGGTTTGGAATCGGGTCACGTATGGAGACAATAGTTTTTCGATAGGGCTGGCAATATTTAGTTGTTAGGTGGCCACTTACCTTTAGGTTATTAACTTTTCAATATCTTTAATCAGTTACAAAACTCTGATGACTAAATTAAACTATTTAATATTCTTGAACACTAAATAAAAGTCCTTTTCTATTCAACAAATTTAAATCTCACAAAAGCATTGTGACAACCCAGAGTTGTCCCTATTCTACCCCTAGTCCTTATTCCTCCCAATCTACGGTACGCAACGCACCTGACATACTGGCTTCCCGAACCCAAGCGCCAATATCGCCCCTCATATCTATAGTGTATTCAGCTAAGCACTCCAAGAGTGCAGCCACGACATCGTCCACGTGTTCCTCGATGCCCCCCCGCACCCCCTGCGTCTGGCACACTTCGGTCAGCCCTATGACGGCGTCGCGACGCGCCTCCGCCCACTTCTGCGTCGCTTCCGTCACTTTCGTGCATTCGATCAGCGAACGAATGACCATCGGGAGATGTTCGGTCAGCAAAAACTTAGGTAAAGCACCTGAAACCAAAGTTTGTTAGCAATACCTAAACACACATGAAAGAAAATATACAATAAAAATGCGATGAACATGTCTCAATATGAGGCCTACAAAATCAAAGACAGCTAAACGCCTTAATGTCGTAAAATGTATTAACAATGGCTCTATCTTGTTTAGTTAGTTGAACATGCTTTAGTGATTTCATGTTCTAACAAATGCAGCTAAATCTCTAACAAATTCAGTTCAAAAAAGTTAAGTTTACTCTGTATTAAGTACTAATAAACGGAGTTTTATCATTTTAAATTCAGATTATTAGTAATATTATATATAAATCTGTTTAATTTTATGTCATTCTTTATAAATCTGTTTTAAAATAAATAATATCGTAGCTATATGAACAAAGTTATTTCAGCTTCTCAAACCGGGAGTGTTGCTAACACTGGCTAGCAAGAGCAGTACTTCGATGGATCGGAAGGATCCGTAATGACGTGTTTAGGGGCGATTTTTGTAGTTTACCTGAATATTTGACAGACTTGGATTTAGCTGCCTTTGATTTTATAGGCCTCATATGTACGTTCATTAGCAGTTTATTAATTCGAAAAAGACGCCCGGTGCAGTTATGCGACTGTGCCGTGAGTAGATCTCGGGGTAAAATATAAATTTCCTAGTTACCTATGTATCCAATCAGAGTTCCCGAACGACTTCCACGATGAAGGAAATCATCGTATCGAAATAAATAGTATAAAGACCTTCCCTTTATCGTATAACTACAAGTGCAAAAGTTTGTATAATTTATCAAGAATGTTTAAATAGTTGTTCATGCTCACCAACAGCTCGCGAGTATCCCATTCTCAGCACAAGTCCATTGACTCCACTGTTCCTAAGTTGCTCGCAGTACTTCTCCATAAGTTTAGTGCGTTTTTCTTTCGCTGTCATATCACCATACACCAATTGGTCGTCTCGAAGATACTGATCGAAAACCAATGGCAGAGCTTTTATTGCTTTCTCTCTTATGGCTAGCACTTCGTGAGCTAGACATTCTTCAATTAAATTTAGCCATTCATCTGGAATTGGTAAAATGAAATATATTTTAATATTCTTGACAATACAGTGTCTAACCATCTTTTTAATAGTAGTATAGCTGGCAACACTAGGTGAACGAAATGAAAGGTTTTCTTCAACACTAGGTGAACGAAATGAAAAGTTTTCTTACAGAATCATTTTCCGTTTATAAAGTGTACAATTTATTCCGGGTGCATTATAATAATATGTCCTTCAATTTTCCAATGCAGATAAAAAATTATAGTTAAGAATGTGGTCAGTTAATCGCTATGAAATGGAAGATCCTCTTAGAGAGTCGTTTTGTTTATAAACTGTACAATTTATTCCGGTTCCAATATAATAATATGTCCTTTGATTTTCGAATGCATATAAAAAATTCTAGTTAAGAATGTGGTCATGGAATCGTTAAAATTGACAGAGCACTAGTGTAGTAGTAAGTAGAAGTACTTATTTCGAATAGTGCAGTTCAATTTCGTTTGTACCTATAATAGGGTGTCCGTGGTAAGGTGCGGCGGCCAACGAAAGCGACGCTATACAGTTGCAGCAAGCCTGCCGCATCAGTTCCCCTCCGAGACCGCGGAACTGCTGGCGGGACCTCAACCGCGCCACCAGCTCACGTACTGATGTCGAGATGTCCTCGGATATTAAGCTGTCTGCTGTTTTACCTGAAAATCAGATAACCATCATAGGAATTCTTTAAAGATAATTAAAGATTTTCGGAGTGACAAGAAATGTTCAATTCCGGTAAGATCTTTGCAGGAATTTGGGATCTCTGTATATATTTTTTTCATTCTTTATTAGAGCCATATACCTATTAGGTTAAGTCGGCTATATCTCTGTATTCTGTACAAAATTTTTTCATTGAAACTGTTCGAAATGATCCCGTCAAGTTTTTTTGAACATCGCACGACCTGTCAGCGGAATTAAGTTTATCCCCATTATACAAAGAATTTTTCCCGTTATTTAATCTTCCTTACTATCCAACTTTGGTATTAACTTATCAGTGTTTCCTGATGTCCTGCTTGAAACAAGAATTGAGGAAGGTTCAGTGATAGGTGACTCAAAGGGTGACACCTTCAAAGGCCTTTAAAAAAAACACAAGTTAAATGAGGTATGATTGTAGTCATTTCAAAAGGTTTATTAAATTAGTACCTACAAAGGAAACAATTACTACATAAATATTTAAATTTATGTCTGCAATGTAAAAGTCTTAGTAAAATTTGATAGGAACCTTATTAAAACTAGCAAGTAAAAACGTAATAAGCGATACTTATTTTAATAACAAATGTGTGAAAGCTAAAAAATCAGGTACAATATTACTAGTAGGTGGAAGTTGGGAAATAAATAGAGCATATTGTTGAATATGATAATAGTACTTACCATTGGGCAATTTTGTTTGTGACAATGCGTATATAGTTTCACCTATGGCCAGTATAGCTCCGTGTCGTACGTTCAAATCGATAGACTCCGTCTTTTTTAATAGTTTTGGTAAAACTGTCACTGCCATGTATTCCGGAAGCTGAAAGTGTTCGACATTCTTTTTGAAAACTGTACAATAAAATGATTTTAATTTTACGTTTAATGCCTTTACTTAATTTCACAATTAAAATAATTATATCTATTTCACTTACATGAGATTTTAGATTTTTTTAGAAATCCTTAAAATTAATAATCTAACCTAAATAAGTACAAAATGTGTACATGAAAATGTGAAATTGTCAACAGCTGACACCTTTCGTATATTCAGTAATAACTTCTTTCAAGCAAGTAGGTAGGTATGATGAAAGCATGGAGTATGGATGCGTGTTTATGAAAACACACGGGGATTTTTCTTTGTCATGCTTAGCTTGGTGGATAAGCTCACAGCCCACCTGGTGTTAAGTGGTTACTGGAGCCCATAGACATCTACTACGTAAATGCGCCACCCACCTAGAGATATAAGTTCTAAGTCTCAGTATAGTTACAACGGCTGCCCCACCCTTCAAACCGAAACGCATTACTGCTTCACGGCAGAAAATAAGCGGGGTGGTGGTACCTACCCGTGCGGACTCAGAAGAGGTCCTACCACCAGTAATGTAATACTCACATGCTATGGGTATATATATACAGTTAGATGGCAATGGCTAACCTTAATCGTTAGTTTGTTCAATGCCTTGGCGGCAAGTTCGCGTATGGCACAGTCCCAATGATCGACTTTCAGCTCCACCAGATGATCGACCAATGGCTGTGTGTACTCCGGATATTCAGCGATCTGCACAATTACATTTGTAAGCTATAATTAATAAGTTTCTGTTATCTGTAGGACTTTTTGGCGGGAACGCGAGGAGTGAAGTTGTGTGATTTGTTTTATTTTGTCTATTTAGTGTTTCTTCAGGTTTATATTTAATAATGGTAGTTTTATTAACAGTTTAATATCTGTCAAAGTGCATAAATGTGGGAAAATTAAACTAAGCCGCTAGACGTATAATAACTAACTTTTCGGGATCTTCCAAAAAGTCCACTGAAAAAACCTCTGTAAATGCCCACCATTTTATTGAGATTATATTTCATCCTATATCATCTCATCTCATTTCATTTAATTTCATCCCAGTTGATTAATGTCTAAATCATCTTCATTTCATTTCACTCCATATTATCATTTTTCATAAAAATATGAATATAAATTAAAATAAGACATGACTTAAAGGTCTTAGTTACCAGGTCATAAAATCCCTTTAAAAAAATGTTATCTATAGTTATATATAGTGTTCATTATAGCCGCTTCACTATGTTTGGTTAGAAATAATATTACATCGAATCTAAGTATACTTTGATTAACTTAAGTGGATAAAAATATGACACTTTACCTGTGGGGCTATTACAAGATAAGCATTGTTCCTAGGTCCCACAGATTGAAAGTCAGCAGTAGTGAGCACATTGATGCCGTGCGGGAACATACCATGACGTCCCACATTTTCTTGATACGCCGCCGATGCAGCTCGACGGCAATTGATCTGCGAAATTGTTTTCTATTAGTACATTTATTCGTAATCTCAAAACGATATGTATTTCCGCATTAAAAGTGTACAATTTCCAAAAATATTCGAAATTGAGTTAATATGCGGAATCATTTGGTATCACCAGAATTTTCTCATAAATACTGTCAAAAAAGCGTAATATAGTTTTAGTTTTTTTTTTTTTTTTTATTTATCTATGTTTTGTCTACTATTAACAAAATTAATACATAATTTTATCTTACTTTAAAAGACAGATAATGTAACTGGTAAAAAATTAAAAGTAAATGTTGCAACAAGAATATTAATATTAAAAATATCACATGTTAAACCTTTAAAACACTCTCCTGTAAAATTAGTAAGTTTTGAGATTATACATTTTTAATGCGAGATGACGATTTGTGTTGTCTATGGATGATAAGCACTAAAGCCTATAACGGATATTAAAAAAAGGTACCTCTCGATCAAAACAAGCTGTCGCTATGAGTGCGTTGGCGAGCATGTCGGCATAGGGTTTGAGCGCGGCGGCGTCGTATGCCCGCGCGAAGGCCCAGGCGGCGTGACACGCTGCGTCCCGGGCCGCCCGCCCGCCGCCCCCCGCCCCCACGCCACCCGCGCGCGGCTCGTCCCTGCGCAGCGCACGCACTACCCCCGCCATGCCGGCCCCCACTTGCCTCGGAGACAAGAGACCGCGCCGTGCTGTTAAACATGACTACTAGATAATTGTGCAACTCAACACATGCATCAGCCCGCTTAGTTTCTCGCAGGATCTTGTCAGCGTAGTAGATATATTCGCGAAGCAGCTGCTCTTAAGCTGTTAGGTCTCCTTCGGAGGCACTCAGGCAGCTGTTAGCAAATCCCACCCCTCCTGGCTGAGCCTTTGCTCGCCCATCTGTCCTGGTGAAACTGGAAAGGCCTCCGGGCCACTAATAATTATACAATCATAAAAAAAAATACTAGAAAATTCTTGTTAGCCAGCCGATTGACTTTGACTTTCGACTTCAATATATCAAAAATTAGTGTTCCTTCCGGTCTATTTACTTTCTTTTTTAGAATATTTGTGTGCTGTTTGCCGCGATCCCTAGAGAAACCATTTATTAACCATCAGATGGGCTATATTATCATATTTCTTCAACAGCAGTAACCCAGATATTGCCCCACCATCCTCTCGTGTTTATTGATCTATCAAACTTTAGTTCAATACAAGCAAAACTTACCTAGTTCAGCCAGTGCCATACACCCACCATGCCAGGCAGTTTCACGTTCATTTTCTGCAAACAGTCCTAACACACTTTCGCATACATCAGCAGCGGCTATCGCAGGTAAACGTGCACCGATTCTCCCCACTCCTTTCGCGGCCGACCAACGAACTACTGTATCGTCATCACTTAGTGAACACAATAATAGTTCTACTACATCTTCAACCTGTTAAAAAAAACATACAATGAAACGAGTTTTTAAGATGATTGTATGTCTACTTTGTAATTGTAATACTTTCATTAGAATTGAATTTATATGTGAAATGAAAACAACTCTAGTTATTCTGCTTTATTTGATAAATTATTTTTTTCAAATTTAAAATCTTAGGCAAACATAATCATATATCTTACAAGACTCTTACCTCTTGAGGAATGTCTTGATCATCATCATCGTCAGGAGGAGTAGTAATCGTTTCCGTATCGCCAGCTGCCGCTGCTCCACCTAAAGTAACCGCTAAAGACCTTGAACCACGAGTGTACCGCCAGGCAGCTACTCTTGGACGCAGAAATGTTAAACCTAAAACATAAGCAGTTATTAATCATTGTTTTATTGAAACAGCCTTTGTATAAACTTCTTGACACTGCGGTACTTATTTTATAATATGATATGATAAGCTTAATAAAATAGCAAAAAACGATAAAATTGTACCCAAACCGTATACGAGAATGTCAGTTAGCATAGATTATTGGGCAGTGGGGAACTGTACCAAAACCAAAACCTAGCTGGGATAGTCTGGGGCTTAAAAGGCACAAAAGAGTTTCGAAGTAAAAATTGTAAATATTTATAAGAATTCTCTCTGATATCTGCTCGAGGCATTCTCATGCCACTGCAATATGAATGCAGTTAAAGAGACTACCTGCACTATTCTACATGAAAGAGACAGCAACTCTGTAAATATGGCCTATCAAGGACCTGAATGGATTGAGGGAGGGTATAGGATTGAGTTATTTTCGATTCCAAGCTAACGTTTAAAGATCACATACAAAATATATGTAAAAGGGGTAGTGGTCTGCTCGGGTTCATAATTCGTCAGACGCACGACTTTGTAGGCCATCGTGTGATTGTTATGCTGTACGATGCCTATTTGCGAAGTAGTCTTGAATATAACGCACTCGTGTGGGATCCTCGCGAAGCAGTTCAAAAGCTAATGCTGGAAAAACTACATAAAAAATTTTGCAGGTTCCTATTCAAGAAAATGTATGGATACTATCCGTTCTTGTATCCATCACTTTATGTGACTGGTATGGTCGGATTAGATACTCTTGAGCTCAGACGGAAGATGACTCTTGTGGTGCATTATTATCAGCTATTGCATAACAAAATTGATAACTCCACTGCACTGGAATCAGTGTCGTTATATGTGCCTGATGGCTACATGCGCGGATGTATGTGTGGAGGGGCGCGTCGCCAGCGGCAGCTACTTTGTACTACGCACGCGCGTACGCAGCACACTGCTAACTCCCCGACGCATCGTGCTGTCTCGCTACTCAATGGCGTGCTAGCCTATGCTCCGGAAATGGATATATTCCATGATGGTTTGCAACGATTTATTGTTGTTGTCAGGAATTACTTAAGCTAATTATTAATACCTTACAAATGTTTTGGTTTATACTGTTAATTTGTAAGTAGACTAATTAAATAAATAAATAAATAAATCTAGATAAATGTGTATATATTGGCAATATCTGAAGAAGTGGAATGAAGTTCAGGGCCTTGATACAAAGATGGTTACTTAAGGCTCCAAGTATTGACTGTTTGTTCACCCAATCCCTCAAATACAAGACCAGACCACGCATAAGCAAAGGGTGGCAGATTCTAATTTTGAAATAATAAAAAAGCTATTTCTCTATAGAAATAGCCTATGCTTACCAATTCTTTGGACAATTTTAACTCCATATTTTCTAACAAGCATAGCATTATGATGCTTATAGTTTTGGTTCGTAACCCATTCAAGTAATTTAGGTGCATATGGTAGTAAATCATCTCTTTTCCCGTGCTTCAGAACAGCTGCAACAGCAGCTAAAACCCCGTAGTGTATAGTGTTCTCTTCATTTAAATTTGAATTCAGCTCACAGGCCCAATCAAAGAATGCACCCATATATAATTCTTTCACATCTGACCTGCAGGTTGTATATTTATATATTGAGATTTATATAAGGCAAGTTAAAATAAGCACCATTGGTACCAACTACATATATCTGTGGGCAGCAGGAGCCACTTCATTTCAGCAAAGTAAAGTCAATATTTCATCTTCAAAATTAAATACTATATGTATTGTATTTGTCATTAAACAAGTCATAGATTTGACTGGACCTCTAGTTAATCAGAATTTTTGTCATTTTATCATTGCCGAATTTCAATAATAATAAATAAAAGGTTTACCTTGTAAAAAATTTAGAGGCTAAATAAGCACTGGCTTCAGCACATGAATCTTTGCTAAGTGCATATGTTTTACAAATATTAAAGATTCTTTCCATGACTGTTAATTTTTTCGAAGTGCCTGCTTCTGAAAAACATGTGTTACTCATTTTGTAATCATGAATAAAACTATCACTTTTAAATTTCGAAAATTTTATGCCACTGAAAGTTTTAGATATTAAATTACAAAATTGCCAAAGCAATTTTTTCCATTTTGTTATTCTAAAAGAATGATTCTCAATTACTGCACTATGACAATTTTGTGGCCCACCTAATTCTTCTAGTTTATGTGCAGCCAAAATCATTACATTGTCTTACATTATCATTACATCATTATTTTACACAGTAAATAGCTTCTGAACTTTTTTAAGCTGTGAAATTTTAAAATCATTGTGTGCCACAGAAGAAGCAGTTGAGAATTACTATTCCAACACAAAAAAAAAAAAAATGTTTGTCATTCTATAACACAAGGCAGTCTCTTTATGAAATCATGTCACAACTACTGCTATTTTTATACATGAAAGACAGATTAACATTCAACCACTTATTATTCATTATTAAAATATCATAAGGTAGGTATGTATTGGTCATTGATAGATGTTCTATAACATACCTGGTTGTCCAGGAGCGAATCCATCTAGGCGACTCATATGAAATGGAATAATAACAACAATTGACAACCATAACAGTAAGACAAATCTGCTTCTCCATGTTTCCTTATCATCAGGATTTTGAGCTTCCAAAAATACCAATACAGTCAGCAAATCAGACACCTAAAAATTATACATTTCTCTGTAATAAAATCCATTGTTATGTCATGGACTCATATCAAACAATTTAGTTTACATACTAACTTCATGTGGAAGATGTCTAACAACCACCTTATAGCCTCGAACTCTTATGATTTGGTACATGTAATTAAAAGTTGCATGTTTCAGTTCGAAAGGGGAATCTTTATCTTTGATAAGTAACAAAAATTTCGATAGAATTTTGTCTAAATGTGGATCCAACAGATGTGGTTGTTCATAATACTGTTTAAGTATTGTGTAAAGTTTATCGTACTCCACTTCAAAAGCAGAGGTGTTATAAACATTTTTTACATTATCAATCATGTTCATCACATCCTCGACCTCTGAAAAGTATTCGAGTGCACATCCCAGCCCAATATTATCACATTCGTCATCCCGGTTAATCTCAGAGTCTAACCCCACCATTTTTTTTCTTTTATGTACTCTTTTCGCGAAAAAGGTTTGACTTCGTGAGTTATTATTAATGATTTGAATTACTAAGCACTAAATTTCGTAAATAAAGCTCATATCTTCAACTTTTAGGAATAAAAACAATAGTAGGTAGACACTGTAGACAGTTGACAAATTGACAAGTCACTAAGGGTGAGACCGATATATTAGTATTCATTAAGATATTCGTAATACAGCTTGTATTCGTGTATCGGTAATCCGTCGAATTCTGATATGCTAATATTCCGTATTCACTTTATTCATAATATTAGCCAACTCACATCGGTCGGGTTGTATCTATCACTCTGAAATATACTGGCATACGCCGTACATCTCTCGCGGATATCTGTCTATCACATTCATAACAATACTGCATGCGCTAAGAGTAAGTGAAATAAACTATATTTTTACATATTGAGCAATGAAAATAAGTACATATCATTATGAGTTTATGGACTATTTTTTAATTCAACTTTTTACATGTCAAAGATGCTAGTGGGAATTTTTAAACGCATTACTTTTTAATGTTTGGACCTTCATTTCTTGATTCAACTAGAGATTCTACTCAAGGCAAAGTAGTGCATTTTTACATTTATTGGAATAAAATCGGGGAGCTTTATTTTCATTAGTTTAATTTTATTTTCTGTTGCCTTCGAATTAGTTGGTTTTAAAATGATGATTTGAAAAACGGAAGTAGGCAGTTGACATTGTTTACCAATTTCATAAATTAAAATATTTTTTACACAAAACGTAATACGGCCAGAACTAAATTAAGTGTTTTTACGTAATAAATTATGATGACAATATATTTTTGCGGTGGTATTTAATTATCTTCTAAGAACTTCTCAAATTATAAATGTTTGATTTTTGAATCGAAATGACTTTCTAAACAAACAGTTCGGGGATTATAATATTATAACTGTTGTGTACCTACAAGCCACTTCAGTACCGTGTGAGAGGATTTTTTCAAAATCTGGTAAACTCATTTCTGACCGACGTACGAGTCTTTCGGTAGAAAAAGTAAAAAAGCTAATGTTTTTATGCACCAATAAGAAATAAATAATATTACTAACTTGTTGTTTATATTAATGTACAATATTGACCAAATTCTGATTTAATAATAATAATATTCATTTTAATGTACATAATATTACTTGTAAAATATTTAGTATGAAATCAAATTCCTAGATACAATATACTATTTATATTATTAATAACTAATTTATGTGTATTATCTATGATTATTAACTTATTTCACAAATACCGTATTAGGTTTAACTCGTTTACCCGTTTTATCGAAGTATAATAAGATATGAGGATATTCACGTATTAGTTAAGGTATATTACATAATGAATATCTTCGTATTCGCTAATATTGACAAATATCGGTATTAACCCATCTTTACAAGTCACTATGAACGTTTTAACAGTTTTGCCGAGTTTGGCGCATAGATCTTTATAGTAGTTTTGCGTTAAAGGCTTATTACACTTGGCTGAATTTAGTCGACTGAATTCAGAAGCAAATTTAGAGCTTCTGATTACACTGCTCTAAATTCAGTTACTGAATCAATTGTCAGTATAAACACGTATAATCAATTTCTCAAAAAAAAAGGGGATATCGTTGAAGAAATATTGATTGCTGTGCGGAATGTTAGCAAATATTATGAGTGATTTAGAACCAGCAGACTTCAAAAATTATTTATAAATAGATTCGATCTCGTTTGACCTAATATTAAACCTTGTGACACCATTTATTCAAAAGCAGGATACTATCCTACGATAGTCTATTACCTATATATCTATTATATAATTATTGTCATATGGTATAATCTGGCACATTAAATAAAGGCGACCGAAATTAATACTTTTTATTCGGAAGCAAAAAACAAACTAAAATGTCCTTACGCACGGAGAGCTATGGGACGACTGAAACCATTAAGTAACTAAATGCGATTAAACCTACCTGAATGCGTTGCTAATTAGGCTTCTAAATGATTTAGTCAGTCAGAAACCATCCTTGTTACTGGATTCAGTAGACTAACTTACTTAATGCTATTACACTTCACTGGATTCAGTTGACTAAATTCAGCCAAGTGTAACAAGCCTTTTAGTTTAAAAGTCATTTTCATACTTCAGTGGTCTAAGTAGACCATCAGTGAAGTAGACCAGGTACCTTTATGACAACTGAAAATTTATCTTTAACAATTCAAAATAAAACAAATGCAAAATAAGTTCTTATTAGGAGGTAGTAAGTAGAGAGAAGTTTCACTTAAAAGAAAGGTTATAATTTAATATAAGAAAATCCCTAATTTTCAATAACAAATATTTTATATCCACCAAATGAGCAACAAATATTAGGTAATCCAACAAATGTTCCGCATGGCATCAATTACAAAGCAAATTTCTAACTTTACAATTATGATATTAGATTTGGAGTTAATCGGCAAAGATTACTGCTTTAAATAGGTTTGGGAAAAAGCTCTGGAAAGCTCTATTTTCACTGTTTTACTCTTTGTAGCCATCGTGAAGACTATAATGACCACTACTACATTTAAGTAGAAATACTTCAACCTATTTGGAAGAAGTCGAAAAGAAAAGGAGAAAATTGAAAAATTTTCATTATTTCTTTTCTTTTCTTACTTCCTCCAAATAAGTTGAAGTCTTCTACATAAATGTGTTAGTGGCCTTTTTATTCGCCATAATGTCGCCACGGTGTATGAAATCTCATTATTTTATTAAAGAATTTTATTTTGTAGTAAGGGAAAAATATTTAAAATTTTCAACAAATTTGGAAATGTTAACAATGCGGTAGATATTGTTTCTGATTGCGTAACATCCTCTTGAAGCACTGGTCATTTACCTGAAATCGTTATTGGTTGTTTTGTTTGAGGAATATCTGATGATAGCTTCTATAAATGCGGGCTTTACGATCGAGATGCACTTTTACATATTAATATCTATCTCCTGTGCTGATTATGATTCTCGTTTTTGACTAGATGCGACCGGTGTAGGGTGGCTTTAGCTTTTTTTTTTTTTTTTTCTTTTTTTTTTCCTACCTAAGCTGATAGCCCTAGCGGCTGTCAGCGTAACCCTAACTTTAGTAGGTGAGCTCACGGGGCTCAAACCTGACGATGTTGCTAACACGAACCCTAGCAAGAGTCGTGCTTCGCAGAATCTACCACCGGATCGGAAACGCGACCCACTGAGAAGATCCGGCGAGAAACTCAGTGGGCTGTGTCTGAGAGTTAATTTACTCGTCGAGCCCTTCGACGCAAGCGACGGGTTCGACGAGAACGGTGACCGGTGCTTGAAGTACCTAAAAGCACCGTTAGTGGATCGGGAGGATCCGAGATGACGTGTTTTGGGCGACGTCGACTGCTTTCCATTCTGTCCGCAGGATCGGGAATGTAGTTACCGGCGGCCACGATGAGAGGGTTCTCGTGTCGTGCCGCTTTATCGAAGTGGCGCATGGACGCCGACTGCAGATACTTACTGATGGACTCTAAGTCCAGGTCGTCATGGAGGTCGACGTTCCTGACGAACCACGGGGCTCCGACGGCTATCCTGCAAAAACGGGATTGAATAATTTGGAAGGATTTTAAGTGTATGCGGGCCGCGTGAGCGAACACTACACTTGCATAGGTCATGACGGGGCGTATGCAAGTTTTGTAGAGTGTCACCTTATTTCTAAGGGACATTTTACTTCGCCTACATATCATCGGGTAGAGACGTCCTAGAATGAAGGCGGCACGGTCGCGTACCGTCTTAATGTGGGGGCGGAATGTCATCCTACTGTCGAGGGTGACGCCTAAGTATTTGACCTTCGGGGCCCACGGTATGGGCTGGTCGAACATCGTGATTGGGCGAACGGCGGGGGCGGGGGTGTTGACGCGCCTAGTCGGGAGAGTGGCTTTAGCAACGGTTTTACAGAGTCATCTTGTAAAAAAATTTGAAAGGTATTGGATGAATCTTTGGACACAAAAAATCGTCGTTCTGTGTGGTGGGAAGTTGGATTTATTTAAGCCATATTTTATTAAAAAGGCCACTAGGTACCACATCTAGGTAGTGAACTTTTTAGTTGCTACGCATTAACAAGGTGAATGAAGTATCGTTACTAGGCCACAAAAGTAAAAAAAGAAAGTCAATAAATTTTTTAGCGTTTCAGGTTTAGAACTTAGAACGGTGTTATGTTTGTTGTTCTTATTGGGCGGTTCTATTTGAAGGGATTGGGTTCTGGAGGTGAGAAGCTGTTTAAAAACACTTTGCTTCATGGTTAACATATATTGCAAACACACTGTACACTATTAAACCATTACAATATTTTATTTTTATAAAATCCTAAGATGCTGCACTGTCCGTGTCTAGATGAGAAGTCTTTGTCTTCACTGAAGAGAAGACAATCATCTGTTTTAAATATTTAAATAAACATTCCAATATACGAAAACTGTAATCTTACATGTGTCAAGTGTTGCCTGCCATTACTTACATATTCAAATTCCAACAGTTCATATACGAAATGTAGGTATACCATAGGGTATTTTTCAGGCCTTCGTTGTTTCTCATGAGAAATAATCTTAGTGGCTACGTTAAATATTTTCCTAATTCTAAATATCACGATATTTTTATCACAGCTCACAAGCCGGAACTAATCATAGATGATACACCATGTGTCACCTAGCTACTCTCAATTTGAAACTAATCTGTGAAGTACACATTGTGCCATAGATTATACACTTAATTGTGCTTTGTGCGACAAGATGGGTAAGTTTCATAATTTTTGAAATAGAATTTAAACATTTATTAAATTTTGATTGCGTCGACTTCATAAACGCTGATGCTCGAGCCTACTTAGAATTAGAATGCTAAAATCAATATGTTAGGTTCATACATTAAAATTCAATTTTGTTTATGTTTTGCTTGCTCGTTTTTCACAGAAGATCGAGGTCCAGCTAAGAGAAAAGTAAAACCAGTAGAGCCTCAGTCGTTGCTAGATTTTGACCTCGAAGAAGGCGAAAGCTCAGATGATTCTGACTTTCGTATTGAAGATCATCCAGAAGAGAGTGATGATTATTCCATCAATAGTGATGATGACGATAAAAGTAAGTGGCTTTGAAAGTATTTTTTATAAATTATTCAAAACGCCTCCTTTAATTTGTTCTTCTTGTTCAACCTTAAGTCTCCAAATGGGGAGTAGGATCTTATTTAATGGAGAAATATGTCATTTCGGATCCTTTCGTGCCGTTCATGGTGCTTTTAGGCATTCCAAGCACTGGTCACCGTTCACGTCGAACCCGTCGTATGCGATGAAGAGTTCCTTGTGAAAATGGACCCACAGACAGCCCATTGAGTTTCTCACCAGATCTTCTCAATGGGCCGCAATTCCCATCTGGTGGAATATTTAGCAAAGCACTGCCTTTGTTAGGACAGATGTTAGTAAAGTCTCCCAGGCTGAGGCCTGTGAGCTTGCTACACGTTCAGTGAAGCTAGCATCTTGAAGTTGCTAGTAATAGGTAGGCAAAAAAAGAATGTCTAAACACATTATTTTATTTACTCCCCTTGGATTGTATAGAGTATGAAAAGAATGCTTCTGAAGAGGAAACTGGATCAGATGATGATGACTTCAAAGGGTCTAGCAATAAGATTGGAGAAGAAGCTTCAGCTATAGATGTTCTTGAGAAAGCTAAAAAGCATGAGTTTAAGGTAATTAGTATGTTATAATATATAATGTAAAAAAAAAACTGTTATTGAATTCAAAATATGAAAATACTGGCTATAAAAGAGTTGATCATGAGTGGTAGAAAATATCCAGAGAATATAGATCTATGGTCAGATGAAATTAAAATAAAATTTTATGATAAAAAATATAAATTATTAGTATTATAGTTAAATTTTAAGGATTAATTAACTTACAGTTTAAGACTCTTACAATCTTTTTTTAGAGCCAGACAGCAAAACATAATGATTCACATAATTATGTTTTAGATAAAAAAAAATCGTACTATATTTTTTCTGTAAAGTATTATTAAATTTTCGTTGTATATGAATACCTTACCAATATGTTGCTATGTAGTTTCCAGGTGAACTAGCTAATCTCTTGATTTGTGCTGGGTGCCTAGGCTCTCGAAGTGATGACTTCAATGAAATTGTTGAATGTGATGGTTGTGGTGTTACTGTTCATGAGGGTAAATAATTTAGTTATTTTTTGCACACATATAAACTCATCAAATAATTCTATACTAAATATGAACAAAAAAGTGAAAATTATTTTATAGATTCATTCTACAGCCACCAGCAGGTCTAGTATAATTAATATATAAAAAGAGCATTATTGCTTCTATTATAAATTGATTCCAATACGGCTAACTTTTATGACAATGGATAAAATTATAAATTCAGACTGTATTTATAAACCTGTGATCTTCAATGGCTCATGCTTCAATTTTTGAAATTACAGGTCATTGATTATAATCGAAAGTTAACTTAATCTACATACATTTTTTTAAAGTATTCCAAATCACTTTGGTTATTAATACATTTCAGGCTGTTATGGTGTTTCTGATGTGACTAGTGAATCAAGTACAGTTAGTTCAGCATCTACTGAACCATGGTTTTGTGAAGCTTGTAAGGCTGGTGTCACCGATCCCAACTGTGAATTATGCCCTAACAAAGGTACAAATTTTAATTGTTTGTTGATAGAAACAAAGTTTCGAAACTTACATTTCTGTTTCACTCACAAGCTAGCTATACAATGATTATTCTGTAAAATTTTTGATTGAATTAGATTTATTTTTGAGACCACTGAATAGTAATTAAAAAAAAAGAATTTTGTACATGTTGCTGGACTTATTTCATTTCATCTCGTAAAGTAAATAGATAAATAATAAATAAAACAACAGGTGGGATTTTCAAGGAGACTGAAGTGGGTGCTTGGGTGCATTTGGTTTGTGCACTCTACGTCCCTGGGGTTGCATTTTCAGAGGTAAGTTGTAAATAAATATTTACCATAGTGATATAATAGGATTTAAAAAAAAAAACTACTAATACAATTTTAATGTTCCAGCTAGTAAATTAAATTCCAAATAACCTTAGAAAAGTGGAGATAATGTTTTTTATTTCAGGTAGAACGTTTATCAGGTGTGACTCTTTTCGAAATGGCTTATTCTCGTTGGGGAGCACGTTCTTGCGCACTATGTGAAGATGTGACTCTGGCACGTACAGGAGTGTGTGTGGGATGCGATGCTGGCTTGTGTAAAACATTCTTCCATGTAACTTGGTAAATTAATTTAACTTTAATTATTACTTGTAACAGTACAATGAGTAAAGAGCTTGCAAGATCATTATAATCTTATAAATTTATATATATTTTTGATAAGCATAATTCGCCCATTCCCCTGGTTATAATATTATCAGACATATTTAAATTTAAATATTTGACTATAGTGAGGTCAATTTGGGGCTGATAGTGAAAATATCTGAAAACCTTTCGCTGTACTTATGTTGGAACAAAGATGAGATGGGGATTTTGGAATCTGGTAGTGAAAATATAGCAATATTGTCTTTCTATTGCTAGTCGAAAATGAGGAGTTCTTAGATGCACACAAAAGCAATAATAATAATAAAAAACGGCTTATGAAGTAGACAGGATCTGAGTGATGGAGGTCTAGGTGTCCGCTCACTACTTGGTTAATGGTTACTTAAAGTGTATAATTTACTGTTACTTACATATTAAACCACAGTGGTCAGCGGGAAGGTCTTTTAGCTGAGGCACACACAGAAGAAGTAGAGCAAGCTGATCCATTTTACGCTCACTGTAGACTGCACTCTGACAAAACACTAGTTAAAAAACGGAAAAGAAACTGGCTAGCTTTGCAGCTGAGAACTGAAAAAAGGTATTAATATATTAAATTATCTTATTCACGTTTAAAAGAATTTGCAAATTTAAGATTCGGAATCACTGATTTTATTTGTATCATTTGAGTGAGGTTTCAAATATAATTTATAAGCGTTTTGTGGTGCTTCACATACTCACAAAATTGGGTCTCATTTTGGAGGTCATTAATACAAGTGACAATATAATTTCAATATTATAATATTCTCTTCAGTTGTTAAACTGAAAATTAAATATTTAGCAACATAGCTATTGCTTGAAATTGTTTGTCCCTAATATTTAAGGAGTGCATTCTTAATGGTAGTTTTTGTCTGCATTGATAATATAAGGATTACCTCATCTACAATATATAATAATGAGACAAATAAGTATTTATTAGACTATAATCTGTGAATCGCAAAATAGTATAAAATAAATATCTAATATGTATAAATATGTATAAACTTAACCTTAAAAATCTCACTTAGAATTTCAATGCAAAATTAGCACCAACTTAAACTTTTTTTTTTTGTATTGTTTGTCTAACCTGTCTGGATAGACGAGCTCGCGGCCCACCTGGTGCTAAGTGGTTAGCGGAGTCAAGGCATCACCAACGTAGATGCCGTGCCGCTACACCCTTTGAATGTATTGTTAGTAAGTCCATTAATCATGTTACTGTTTTATGGGTGTAACATTTCTGTTATAGAAAATTTGAGTTAAAAGAAAATTTGAGTACTGACGAGAAACTTCGAATTCAGCGGAAACTAGTGAAGTACAGGAAAAAGTACTTACAACAGAAAAATAATAGAAATCCTCCATGGGGTAGGTTTATGTTTTTCCAGTTTATTGTTGACATTATTGCGATAATTTGGTACTTATCTTACAAAATATAATTATGTAATTTCAACAGTTCCAACACAAAAGATGGCCAGGATGCTTTACAGCAGTGCTTCTGCAATACGGAAGTTTCAAAGGAAAGCAGAATGTATGGGAATAGATACACATGCGTTGGAGTTCCAAGACGCACAGGTTTATACACCATAATTTTGTTTAAACTTAGCTGATAATAGTTACTTAACAAGAACAACCAATGTTATAAAATTAAATTTATCGCATCACATATTGTATTTAGTATTTCAAATAATTACACTATAGGGCATTTTTTCTTTCATTAAGTTTTGCTTTAATTTTTTCTTGGTACAGTTAAGAGGACAAGCTTACCTTACTCCCATGGCTAATCAGTTCTAAGGGTCAACAGACAACTTTAATAACGCCGTCCAAATTGGGAGAAGTGAATCGTAACAGGTCATGCTGACTTTAGAAGTAATTAATTAATTTACTGCATCGCTTTAACAATAGTCAGGACGTTGGTAGTCATAAGCTTGTGATATTTTATTGATAGTTTGACTTTAAGTTTTTTTATTGACAGATGGCAGCACTGAAAGATGTTTCTCGCCGATGGCACGTCCCGCCGGCTTTCTCCGTCGAATTCGTCGGCTACTACTTGGATAGAAATAACCGAGCGACAACCCTGAGAGAGTCTCTTGAAAGATTAACGAAAGATAATGAGAGGTTGCTTGCTGGCGATGACAAGTTAAGAGCTGAATATGATGAAGTGAGTACTGTGAACCTAAATTGAAGCTGCCTGTTCTTACACGTTCACGAGTTTTATTCTTTTAACTGAAATCGTTTACAAATTATGTTATAAATCTCGCATCATTAGAATTGAAGTGGCTTAATCCAAAATTCTTGTTTTTTGGTAAACGCTAAAAATGTAATTATGAAAATTGTAGTTTATCAGTTTCGATTTTAATACTTAAGTCTTAAAGTCCATACTGTACAATTTAAAGAATGCGCTTGATTTAAAAGAGACGGTAAGTGTACTTTGCCCTTTTCTAGACTGAAATTAAAATTTAATTTTTAATTAATAAAAAAATAATTGTAAATTGATAGAATACTTTCTATAAGTCGTTTAAAGTGTAAAATTCATTTTCTTTAAAAAACTTGTTAAGCCATTTCAATTCTAAAGTTGCGATATTATAAAATTAATTAGCAAGAACATTAATAGTGTAAAATCGAATAATAAAATCAATATTATATATAACAGGCATCCAAAGAGAACACGGAAGCGCTTGCCGAGTTGTCTTCGGCCAGACAAGCATTGCAAAAGATATACGCGGCTATAATCGCGATATGTCCAAAGAAAACCGCGCCCTCAATACTGGAGGACAAGCCACTGCTGCCTCCCGAACTACCACGATCCACACCTAAAGTCACACCGCAACAGTTGCAGAGACGGTATGTTAAATATTATTTGAACCAAGAAAGGTTTCTAAAGAAAATAAATTATAAAAATATCTATCGTATTACTACGATAAAATTAATGTTAATTTACGACAGTTTTAATTAATGTATAAAAAATGAAATTTTTAGTATAGTTTCTAATTGCTCTATCGATACATGCCAGCTGAATGTTTTCAATGAGTATAATTAAAATTCCGTTAAATCGAATAGCAGACATAAGTGACTGGTTGCTACGTTGATTGAGTTAATCATCAATTATTATTGATAATCCCTCATTGAAATGAAAGTACTTTTTAAATTATTCTTAGAGCTCCTCTAATATAGTCGCCATGTGTCGCGCGAATGTTGCTTTCTGTTTAGTCACTCAATCACTCATCAACAAGATGATGGACAAAACAAAAGATAAATCATATCTCAGTCATCTATAATAATTCAAAATCATACAATTTGTAAAAGTACCAGCCTAGTACAAATACTAACAGGTAAAAGAATTTAAAACAAGAGTGATTGGAAAATAATTACAAAATACCACCTGCTTATTTAGAACTATACTTAAGTGGTATGGGCACCAGAATGAAAAATAAAGTGGTTACAAATTTTACTAATGAATATGAGGTCACTCGACATTACGACTTATATTAAGGCGCCGTTGGTGGGGAGGGGTTTAGCATTGATAGGTAATAATAAAATCTGTAAAAAAAGACTAATCCAAAAAAAAAAAATTAATTTTTGTTAGGATGGTTCAGACAAAATGTTTGCTGTCTCACATTTCCTTGTTTGACATTCTTAACAGCACAAAAAATTAAAATTGACAAATTAACCTTTTTATTTCAAATGTATGCAAATTATATCTAAAGCTCAAAGCTAAGTAAGCTTAAGGCTTTGTCTGAATGTGAATTGAAACAATTTCCACATTCACTCTCTCGTCCTTAATGTAAAGATTATGATTGCAAATCAAGCGTCTGCGCATGGTTTTAATAATTAGTATTTGCATTGAAATAATCTAAATTAACTACTAAAAATTAATTATTAACCTTTAAAAAGGGCAACGTAACAAATTGTAAATGGGCAATTAGGTTATTTCACGACAAAAAAGTTCTTAAAAAATAAAATCGCAAGAAAGCTTAGCTTTAATGTTCAATTAATTTTCAAAGTTTCATGGTTGAAATGGTACCGTAGTTAAAAACGCTTTGTACATCGCGTAGTAATAGCAAAAGCGCTGTACATCGCGTAGTAATTGTAAAAACACTGTACATTGCGTAGTAGTTGCAATCAAGGTTGCTGTGTTGAATGTCTAACAACGAAATGAAATTGTAGGGTGTAGAAGAGTGGTACACTGTAATTGATGTATTGTGTAGAGGGTCGGCTACCAGGTCGATGTCTGTGCCGACTGCGGCCGCACTTAAGATGGGGGTTGGTTTTCCTCTTAGCGACAACCTGGACGCTCGCCATGGAAAAGTCTTGTCTACTTCGGTCGAAGGCAAGTATCAAGCGATCATTACTATAGTTTTTTTCTTTGACACTTGTCTTAAAAACACACTTCTAATATAATATTATATAATAATTTTCTAATTTTATTCAAAATGCTCAATAAAACGTAATTTCGACAGACACAACATAAAATATTAATTAAAACGAAGATTCTTCCAAAATCGTCAAAAGCTTACCATCAATACTTTAGTCATAATTTAATCGTTTCTCGCGTTCTTTCTGAAAAGTCCCTAACAATCTTGTCTATTCACATAAATTATGGTTAAAACTTTTTTAGCTATTCGTTTACGGCTATTACGGCTATTTTTCGACCTTTGAGCTTACCTTGGTTACTGTTATTTTATGTCATTTGATATTCGCAAAAATAACTTGCAGGAAATTTTCGGCTGATATTTAAATGTACTTATTAAAAAAACGAGAGCCATCAATTTTTTAAATATTAAAAGTTGACGAATCACTAATTTTTTTCACACGTTCTCCCCCCAAACAGTTTCAGGAGAGGCATAATATTAAGCAGTAAACTATAAATGGTTATGTTTTTTTTTGCGTTGTTCAGCGTCGTTGTGCGGCGCGTGTGCGGTGTGCGGCGGCCGCAGCGAGCGACCCCTGATGGCGGCGTGCGACACGTGCCGCCGGCACTACCATCTGCACTGTCTGCGGCCCCCGCTCACTCGCCCGCCCAAGAAGAGCAAACTGTACGGATGGTGAGTTAAGACACTACGACAACTTACAATACGATCAAACATATCGACGCTTGAAAGGCAAACGTGACTAAAGCCTTGTTCGGACTAGGCGAGTATTTTAGTCGAGTACCGAGTAATTTAGTGGCTAAATTACTCGCTACTGCACAGAAATCGTTCGCATTACGGTCCAGTAGAGTACACAAGTAAGTGGTGTTTTGCAAGATGAACAGGCTGCAACGCAATAGAGTGAATAAACTGATTAAGCTAATCGTAATGGCTGTTTTAGAAGAGGTGGATGACGAAATTTCTGTGATTAAGAAAAATAAGTTATGGGTACGAAAATGGATCGATAGAAGAGATAAACTAGGAGCTACTAAATGTTTTCTGAAAAAAATTGGCATTGGAAGAGATCCCAAAGAATACTTCAATAGTTTGAGAATGTCTGAAAGTTGTGTGAATTTTCTGTTAACGAAAATACACTCTCAAATTCAGCGCAACCCATTTGAGAAATGCCACTAATGAACTCGACTAATTAACAGGTTCGGACTTGTTTAGTCAGTGAGCCAGTGAGCAAGGACGCGTGGTGGGAGGCGCTACTCGCCCGAAAAAATAGAACAAAATGGATTGACTTGACTAAATTATTTACTAACCTACTCGACTAAATTTTTGGTGCTCAGACACATTTAGCTACTAAATTAATCGGTACTCGACTAAAATACTCGCCTCGTCCGAACAAGGCTTAAGCGACAATGCATGAACTTTACAGTAGACTAATTTAAAATTGAAATACCTGAAAAAAAATATGATTTTTTTTTCATAAAATTAACATCGTTTCGCAGGCAATGTTCGGAGTGTGATAAAACATCCGATTCCGAACCAGAGGTGTTAGAAAAGAAAGGTCCTCGTCGTTCCCGAATACGGTACAGTAAAGACGGAGCCATAATCGCCGACCCGCAGAGTCCCGGCACGGCACCGCCGTCTCCGCCGTCCAAGTCCTCGGAACAATCCCACAGACAGGAAAAGCACGCGAAAAGCGCTGTCACAGAAAATTTATCACCAATCAAAGTTACGATAAAACCGTTCGAGTTCAGCGATGGTAATGAAACTGCCGAAATCAAGTTGAAGAAGGACAAAAAGATCAAGAAGTCCAAGCTAAAAGAATACGGGTCGACTTCGGCCGGTGAAGGAGATTCTATCCCGAAGAAATTACACAAAAGAAGCTTCACTTCACCAGCCCTGACGAATACCCCGTTGATGTCGATTACACCTATTGTGGCTGACAGCCCTAATGATTCTCATAACGAAAACTCGAACGCGTCTAACAACGTCGGATCTACGAAAGAGTTTGTGTCACAAAATATATCATTCTCATCGCTCCTTCACGATATAAAGGACAAAGAGAGAGATAGTAAGAGCATTGAGACGTCGATAGAAAATACATTGGCCAATTTATCATCCGATATCGCTACGTACAAGGCGAACCGGAAACGAAGAAAGGAAAAACATAGGTCACGTTATTCGCCGGATTTGTTAAGGTCACCTTCGAAGTCACATAAACATAAAAGGAAGAAGAAAACTCAAGATATGGAGAATCCAGAAATGCCGCATCCTAGGATTACCATCAAGGTAACATTTTAATTTATTTTAGATGATTTTCCCTTCAATAGATAAGGGGAATTTCTCGAGGTGTATGTACTAAGATGAGATTTTGTATATTATTATAATTTTTTTTCAAATTTTTTTTTATTGCTTAGATTTGCGGACTAGCTCACGGCCCTCCTGGTGTTAAGTGGTTGACCAGTGAACACCTAATTTAATGGAATCTCTCGCGTGGGTTCTCCCGTTCACACAGTTGGTGAAGTTTGGCCAAACGCCGCAAAGGAAGCTTCCAGTGCAGTGCCATCAACACGTGACAAGGCGCTCAAGTAGTTGGGTGTATTTCACATACAGCAATAGTTTCAGCCTGTTATAAATTTAACGTAACATGTAAATACGATATTTCGTAGATAAAGCCGATACCAAAACCGGACGGATCTCTCGACACGCAGATGTTCTACGTTCCCACTGACAGCAACGACGGCCCTCCGCCTGCGGTCATGAAGAAACTCTCGAAGGTATTTATTATATTCGTTAATTTATTTCTACATTATATTTATTAAAGTTCAACTAAACGAAACGCTTATATGAAATGCACTTACGATTTCCCAGCATGATGGTACACACACATACACGCATTGTTTTTATTAACAAGCTTAAATTTGATCTCGAGTAAATTACGCGAGGAAATTCTCTCGAATAGATGTTGCTGTGTATATATATAATATTATAAAGCTGAAGAGTTTGTTTGTTTGAACGTGCTAATCTCAAGAACTACTGGTCCGTTTTAAAAAAATCTTTCAATGTTAGATAGGCCATTTATTGAGCAATGCTATAGGCTATATAGCATCAGGGTAACAAGTGGAGCACCAATAAAGAATGTTTCAAAATATTTTCACTTTCTACGTAAATGAAGTGGAGTGTAAAATTTAGCGTTATGCCAAAGTAACTATTCCACGAGGACGGAGTCGCGGGCAAAAGCTAGTATAGTATAAGGATTTCTTCCGAATTCGCTGTTTACGTGAGACAAGATAACATTATTCGAGAAAATATCTCTTGATATTCTCGCGTACTGGTATTCGAGATATTGTCGATTGACCCTAACGCGTTACATTAATAGCTTAATCGTCCCTTCCATTAACCATACAGCACGCCGAACAAGAGGTAACAAAGCCACCAGAGGAGGCACCAGTACCGTCGGTGGTGGATGATACGAACGAGACTCCGTTGCCTGTAAGTAAAAAAAAAACAAACAAAAATAAATTGTTGAATAGTATTTAAAAAAATGAATAATATTAACCTATATTAATATATAACTACATATACTATACTGAGACTAAGTAACTAAGTAACTATACTGAGACCTTAGAACTTATCTCAAGGGTGGTGGCGCATTTACGATGTAGATGTCTATGGGCTCCAGTAATCACTTAACACCAGGTGGGCTGTGAGCTCGTCCACCCATCTAAGCAATAAAAAATATTAATTATGAAGTATATTAAAAAAAAAACAAAATAAATATCTCTATCGGAATTTTTTAATAATGTATTTCATTTAGCTTAATAAATAAATGATTATAGATTTTTAATGAAGTAAGATAGAGTTAAGTTTTAGTCCATTTTTTATGTTATATTTAAGTAAAAATATAATAATTTAATAACAAAAATGTAATTCGTACATTAATTCTTCTGAACAAGCCCCCGACAACTCAGGAGGAAAATGGAACCGAAACGAAATGTACCAAACCCAAGGTATTACATAGATTGACATGTTTTTAAATTATTATTTTTTAATTTATAAATATGCGCTGTTATTGGACGTGCTTTAAGCGCTATTACTTCCGCAGAGCCGTCATGTTTTGCGGCTTAACGTAATTCAAACTTTGATCTCATGTCTCCAGATGCATCTAGTAATTATTTGTCCTTTATTTGCCGATCTGTTTTAAATAAACAAATGTTTTTTAAATAGTATTGCAGTAATATCATGTAGAAATCGAGGAGAGTGCGAATCAAACTAATATGGATTTTTTTCTTTTATTATACAGTACAATTTTTTTTTTTAAATTTCATGATTTAAAAAATAAAAATACGCTCTCATACCGCTCATTCATTCAATCGTTCTAGTTCATTCGTCTATCAATCACAAACATCTTCAATCACTCATTCACTGCTTTAGGATACATCTTGCACACTTGTCTATCATTCAGATACACTAGAATCCTCACAATCATTTTCGCAGTTGCCTATTCTCCCCATGTCTCGAGGTCCGTCGCGGCAGTCAGACGTAATGCCTATAGTCTTCGGTAGCCATTTAACACAGGAGGACCGTGAGGTCATCCACTCATTTAGTGCAAATAGTGATAAATATTGTTTCAAAATGGTCCACAAAAACATACGCGATCGATAACTGGGTTCGTCTAGTTTGATCGGTAGATAATGTTTTATTGCGTGCTCAATAATTAAACTTTTAAGAGATAAAATAATAAATGGTGGTTACACAAGACTAAGCTTTGCAGTTACATCTTTTACTTTAACTTAGTTTAATCAGTTACATGATGTTAGTTTATAAGATGTTGAGACTACAGAGGAGGTTTTGAGCTTGAATTAGATTATTTGAGGTGGATTCACCCGGCTTAAGCGGCTACGAGATTCCGTAGACAGTACAAAGTTAATGCTGTTGCATTACTCCGTTATTGAAATAGACAGTTTCATCAGCTAGTAATCAAGGCGACATAGTATTTATATGGATGAGACGACACAGATTTTGTAGTAGTCGTCAGCCCGAGCAGAACGATAAGGTCGGATCTGTTTTTTTTTTAAATATCCCTCAAACGAATTATTTCAAGAAATCGTATTTATATAAAATTCGTACATATAAATGAGGCCGTCAGCGCAAAAGTGGCCTAAGCTTACCATAGTTAGTATGGAGGCAATTAGGTTTGAATTTTCATGAATTTGAATTTGAGTAAGCAAAAAAACAACACGCCCAAAAATAATGTTTGCAAAGCTATCTGTTATCTATGGGTGAAACTATGGATAGGCCGTTTTTGCATCGAAACTTTGAATCGAAACTATTTTGAATAAATTCCAATATACGTCATAATATAAGCTTAAATATAAAAAAATGTGGGTTAGGCCACTTTTGCGCTGATGGCCTCAAATGTGTATTACATTAGAATCGAATATAATTTGAAATTATGAAAGAAAAACTTTATTTTTGGTATAACATTATTAATGTGTGTAACGCGTTTGTAGCGAGTACGCGGCGGCAGGAGTAGCCGCGGTCCCACCAGCGCGTCGGACGCGCCGCCTGCCGCGCTCTGTCCCATGACGCACTGCGACGTGTGCCACCAGCCCGGGGACAACACCAACCTTGTTAGGTAACTCGGACCTGCGGTACACAACACATTGATGCCTCAATCCACACTGTAGAAATTCAGAAACCTGTTCTTATGTAATAACTATGAAGTTAAAAGAGTCATGATAAATTTACTCGCATATTTTTTTTCGATGGAGTGATGTTAAGGAACAAGCGCAAGGCAGGGTCAAATGAAGACAACTCGTGAGGCCCTTATGTACCAGCGGGGTACCCTAAGACTAATGCAGTAAAACTAAGCATTTATTTTCGTTAGTGTATAAAATCAAATATTTGTTACCCCTACAACAAAAAAATGTTTTGTAATTAAACTACATATTCCAGTAATATGTTTTTAGATATTTTAGGTAATAATAATTAACGAACGTATTGAGTCTTGGTTAGTTCTGTAGTAATATTTAAATTATCTTTTTTTTAAGTGCTTTGTAAGAGAGGGTAAACGTGTTTACTGCCTACCGGGTGTTAAATGCTTATCGGAGCCCATAGACGTCAGTGAATGCCACTGCCAATTTTGAGACTGAGGCCTATGTCTCTATTAAATAGTTATTACGCAAAATAAAATATTTTGTTTGATTTTTATTACACAAGGCTATTCCTGCATCAACGGTCAGTCACTTGTGAACGTGACTCATGTATGTATTTCATTACAAAAATTGGTATCTGCGTGCGGGTTCTGAACACCGGCCCAGTTGCATCGGTCAGCACAAGTATACCGAGCGTTTTATCCTTTAGGCCACGCGACGACTTTCAGTTTACGAACGTAACCGGATTGACCCTGCTGAAACTTAATACGAAATGGATTTTTTTTTTAAATAAATATTATTATTGCAATTGATGTAATTATTTAAAAATCGATTCGAATAATTCGAATAATCTTTTTCTGTTGAAGGTGCGACGAGTGTAACAAGAGGTACCACTTTACCTGTCTGGAGCCTCCCCTGAACAAGAATCCTAAGAAACGCGGCTATTCCTGGCACTGCGCTGATTGTGATCCTACGGTTGGTCACAAAATAAGTTATTATATTAAAGTAGAAATTAGGTTGTTGTTGATTTTTGCCGGGAAACCATCATGCCATCTAGTTATATGCGGCAGCTGTTCTAACACAACAGTGTCTATAGCCTTATGTCTCTAGGAAAGGGAAAGTTTATAGGCTTCTTGTAAGTCGTCATGGGTATCTGCTGTGAATCAGTAATGCATCTCATTTTTTAATTAAATACAACTCCTTCAATTCCCTAAACATGAGTCCCAGGTAACCGAATAAGCAGAGAAATGCTTTTAAGATTAAAAATCTCTATATTTAATGCAATATAAATTGTATTGTTTCAGGACGTTGAAGAAAACAATTAATATCAAGATCTGATTTTAATTTTTAAATTAGTGTTTAGTTGAAACGTTACATATAATGTCAGTGATAAGTTACTTAAATTGTGTACTATGACTTAATTAATAGTGGAAATATTCTACGTTAGTCAGTAAATATTACCAGTTTACAATATCATGTAATAAATGACATGTTAAGTGATTTTTTTGTTTCAATGAAATAACCTTATTTTGCCTTCCATTACACTACGTATTTTACTTCATCATCATCATCAGCCTGTATCTCTCCACTGCTGGATGTAGGCCTCTCCCATAGTCCGCCACAATAAACGATCCTCCGCCTTCCGCATCCAATCTTTTCCAGCATATCGCCGCAAGTCATCGGTCCAACGGGCAAGGGGACGCCCAACGCTGCGCTTACCGGTACGCGGTTTCCAGTCCAGAACACGTCTGCTCCATCGGCCATCAGTTCTGCGACACGTATGTCCGGCCCATTGCCATTTCAGCTTGCTAATCTTTAGGGCTATGTCGGTTACTTTGGTTCTTTGACGAATTTCATCATTTCTGACTCGATCCATCAAAGAAACTCCGAGCATACACCTTTCCATAGCACGCTGAGCGACTTTGAACTTACGGACCAAACCTACGGTTAATGTCCACGTTTCAGCGCCATATGTCATGACCGGCAGCACACAAGCGTTGAAAACTTTTGTCTTTAAGCATTGCGGGATTGCTGAGTTCAAGATGTGACGGAGTTTTCCATACGCAGCCCAGCCCAACTGTATGCGCCTATCAGCTTCCTTCTCAAAGTTGGCCCTGCCCAGCTGAATAATTTGGCCTAGATAGGTGTATTCAGACACAACTTCGAGTACCGCAAATTCGACTATTACCGGCCCAGGAATGATATGGTCGTTGAACATGACCTTAGTTTTGTCCAGATTCATTCCCAGACCAACACGTCGTGATGCGGCATTGAGCTCACCCAGCATACAGCTGAGATCCTCCAGCGACTCTGCCATTATAACGATATCGTCCGCAAATCGGAGGTGTGAAAGATACTCGCCATTGACATTGATACCCAGCTTACTCCAGTCCAAAGTCTTGAAGACATCCTGGAGAGCAGCAGTGAACAGCTTCGGCGATATAACGTCACCCTGTCGCACCCCTCTGTGAAGCTCAATCGGGTTTGTCTGCTGGTTCTGGATCTGGACTGTCATTTTGGCGGCTTTATATAAACTCTTCAACACCTCAACGTACCGATAATCGACTAGGCATCGCTGTAAGGATTCCAGAACAGCCCAAGTTTCGACGGAGTGGAAGGCTTTTTCGTAGTCCACAAACGCGAGACACAGAGGACGATTGTATTCTTCAGTCTTCTGAATAACCTGTTTCAGCGTGTGGATGTGGTCTACCGTACTGTAGCCTTTGCGAAGCCCAGCCTGCTCCGGAGATTGGAAGTCGTCAAGTCTAGAGGCCAAGCGATTTGTAAGGACTCTCGAGAACAGCTTATAAATATGGCTAAGAAGTGAAATAGGCCTGTAGTTCTTGAGCAGAGCACGGTCTCCCTTCTTAAAGAAAAGAATGACAGTACCCTTGCTCCACGCTTCCGGTGTAGTCGTTTTTTGGATGACGGTGTTGAACGTTGTGCATAATTGGTTGAGAACTGGTGTACCACTTGCTTTCAACAATTCTGTACTGATTCCGTCATCCCCTGTAGCTCTGTTATTTATAAGCTGTTCCAAAGCAGCCCTTATCTCCTCTATACTGACGTGGGGTATGTCTTCCGTGTAGTGGCGAACTAAAGGGGCTCGGTGATCATTCTCTGGGTGGGCAAAGGGTTTGGGAGCATGTGAGGCATAGAGATTACGGTAGTAGCTTTCCACGTATTATACTTAAAAAAATTTTTTTTTCATATCTAAGCTGATGGTCAATAGTGACCCACCCTATCAGCGTAACTTTACCTAGTAGGTGGGCTCACGGGGCTCAAACCTGACGACGTTGCTAACACGAACCCTAGCAAGAGCAGTGCTTCGCAGAATCTACCAACGGATCGGAAACGCGACACAGTGAGAAGATTAGGCGAGAAACTGGGCTGTGTCTGTGGGTTGATTTACTCGTTAAGCCCCTCGTCGCAAGCGACGGGTTTGACGAGAACAATGATCAGTACTTGAGGTACCTAAAAGCACCGTTAGTGGATCGGGAGGATCCGAAATGACGTGTTTTGGGCGACGTCGACTGTTCACCATTTGGTCCGCAGGATCCGGTAGGTAGTTTCCGGCGGCCACGATGAGAGCATTCTCATGTCGTGCTTTATCGAAGTGGAAAAATGATTAATCTGTGTGTGGCTTTTATAAAAAAACTGTAAATATTGATTTACGATACGGTGTTGCGTGTACCTGATCTTCAACGGCAGATTTTCCATACAGCTTTCTGCCTGAACTACCGAATAGGGTTTGATGAAACGTTAGCCTATGATTCTAATGGAATTGAAATTAAAAAATATTTGTTTCAATTTGGAAGTGCCTCATTATTGAGAAGAATCGGCGAAAGAAGTTTGTCCTTTCATGCGCTATATTAAACTTAAAATTATTCTTAAAAACATTTCACTGTGTATATTATTCATAAATACAATGAAATTATGCATACAATTGAATAAAAGTACACTTTTTACAATCACGTGCACCCAATATGAATTGCGGTGATTTTAACTAGATTCACACATTTCATTCTAAACTTAACTGAGGGCACCTATTTAACTTATTAAAAGAACCATTTATTTTAAATCCAAAGTATTTTATCGAAGCCGCCTATATTAAAACTAAAACAGACATTTCTTTGTTCAAGTTTTCGGTGGGGGCGGCAGGAACAAGCCCTCAAGGGTGTTTGAGTGATGCTTTGTTGTAAGATTCGGTGCTCGTCTCAACAAGCGCGCTTTACATAATTATTGATTTTAATATTCATTAAAACCGGAGAAATTCGATACGTCTAATGCTTCAAAGATTTAAAGCTTTACTGCCGTTTTCTAGCTTGCTAGGGTCTGTTACTTCCAATGAAATTAAGATTTCTAAATATTCTCTTTCCGAAAATGAATACAGAGAATTGTGTACTAAAATGAAAATGATCATTTTATAAAACAGGACCACGAGATTATAGGGGTATGCGACCTTTAGTCTCTTTTGCATACATTAAAAGGTCGTCCACATTGGTATTTGAGGTTCAGGAAATTGTAGAGCGATTAAGCAGATTATAATTTGATTTTTAGTTTTCTTCGACGATGTTATTCCTTCATCGTTGAAGTAATTCGTGAACGTGAATTGGTTACGTATTTTAATAGAAAAATTGTAGCCTGCTGCTGAGTTTGAATATCGGCACAATCGCATTGCTCGACACGAGTACATAAGACGTCTTATCATTGAGACCATGACGTTTCTAATTCTGAGAAGGGGCATTCACCAGTTATTTCCATTTGACTCCATACGAAAGACGGTCGTTCGGATTATCGATAATCCCGTTCTCGCAGATCGTTTGAAACCTTTGGAACATAGCTTCTTTATGTTTTTTGTTCCACTTATTATTTTGCGCTTACTGAGCTGATATATGGACCTATAAATGTTATGGCATGTTCTGTTTTAACAACTAATAAGTATTGACCGTTTTTTTTATCTTTGATTGAAAACTCATTTCGACGTACAGAATAGCTGATTAAAGAATAACAGTTTTAATGGAAAGTAATCAATGTTCAATATTTTTAATTATATCTGTTTGACTTTGGTTTTGAGGCAACGACCCCTCATTTTTATGCCATTCATGACATTGATATCTTGAAAAACGAAGACATTTTCAATAAATTACTAAAAAGTAACTACAACAACAACTACTACAACTTTTCTTAATGAATGTCCATTGATTATTTATCGTATTTTTCCTCAGGTTCATAGAATAATCTTGAACTGCAGCCTCATTAGCCGAACTAACACTTTACATTCTGATGTCGAGACGAATTAGATAAATGTTCCTGCGTGTTCAATGAATTTGGGTAAAGTTTCCCCTAATTTATCTTCTATTTGTCGCTCTCCGTTAGCTTGAACATCCTTAACCGTTCGAATAGTTTATTTGACTAATTAAAGTTTTTCTAGGCTATGTTGGACGGTCTTGTTCTTGGCACAATAATTGCTGGTAAAATAGATTGATTTAAAATACATTACGTTATTTATATATATTTACTTTATGTTATTGCTGGTGTAGACATAAGGCCCGTCTAATGTTATATAGGCATGGTCGCTCATTTTTCTATTTTTCCTACCTATGCTGATAGCCTTGAGAGGCTATTTCAGCTTCACCCTAGCATGTAGATGAGCTCACGGGGCTCAAACCGGAGTGTTGCTAACACTGGCCCTAGCAAGAGCAGTGCTTCGCAGAATCTACCACCGGATCGGAAACGCGACCCACTGAGATGATCCGGCGAGAAATTCAGTGGGCTGTGCCTATGGGTTAATATGCTCGTCGAGTCCTTCGTCGCAAGCGACGGGTTCGACGAGGACGGTGACCGGTGCTTATGGTACCTAAAAGCACCGTTAATGGATTGGGAGGATCAATAATGACGTGTTTTGGTCGACGTCGACCGTCGCTCATGGACATCAGGATTTTTAAGGGTACAGCTAAGCGACTATCGCAACTGCGTATTCATCACTTAACTCGTTCGAATTTTTAGAATTCATCACCCGGTAGGAGGTAGCAGAGAATGTGAAAAATTGCTCTATCTCGCATTGAGCTGCCATTTCAGAGCCCAAGGCCGGAAGAGAGGTTTCGTTTGGCGACTGCCCCTTAAAGTATTTCGGGCCATATAAAAGTTGATACCTGTCTGCGGCATTTGAACGCCGACATAATTGCTTCACACAAAATGAGTATACTGGGCGACTTATTCTGTAGACCATGTCCACTTTGATTGGGCTTTAGTAGTGTTTCTTTCGACTATTTGCAAAAACACCGAGTCTTGTTCAATCCGAGTATTATTGCTCTTTTCTACACTTTCTAACTTATTTGCGTAGCTAACCATAGGACACAATATGTTCAAGACCTAATGGTTCCATTTTTGAGCGTTAAATTGATGAGAATCAAAGAATACAAGCAGTACTGCTGTGGCTGTTTAAAATTTGGAGGACAGCTTTGCCATCTGAAAGCATTATGATGGGCCAG